ATCTGTACTACAATGCATGATCCATTCTGGTTTTTATGGTAATCCAGTAAAATAGAATGAAGGTACAAACTCAAGTGCAATTCAAATGTCCAGCATGTTGGTGGGTAAATTTGGATTTTTACCGGTACCAGGGGTCGAACTCACAACTGCCTGCTTATAAGGCAGGCGCTTATGCCGCTGAGCTAAATCCCCAGCCTGGATGTTTTAAGTGCCATCCCTATTTTACTCATCTGTGGCTGGGTAACAGATCGATCCAGAGTTTAGCACTTTAAAACAACATATCACCATATTATTACCTCACAGTTCTTGGAGGTCAGGAATTCGGAAGCCTCTGGCTCAGGAAATCTCATGAAGCTAATAATAAAAGTCTAAAATAATTTAACCCTTTCCCGGTACCAAAAGAAAAAGACCACCTCCTTTAAATAGATACTTTTGACATTTTCTTCATAAAACTTATAAACACAAATCTCTTTTTCGGATGTACGTAACTTGTTTTCAAAGCTAAAAAGCTTTTTACCACTTTTTCCTTCCGGGAATGCCTTTTTTGGAGTCTGCAGAGCCATCTCTTTAAAATGTGAACACCATGGCACAAGGGCTTGCCTGGCAAGTGTGAGGTTGTGAGTTTGAACCCTGGTACCAAAAAAAGAGAAAAGACAAAGAAATGTGAATGCCAGCGAAGAGGATGGTGCCCTGTCTCTCTGGCTTCCTGGTTTTGAGAGTTGAGCTAAGTGTCTGGCTCCCAGTTACAACATTCTGCTCATTAAAATGAGAGAGAGAGAGAGAGAGAGAGAGAGAGAGAGAGAGAGAGAAAGAGAGAGACAGAGACAGAGAGAGAGACAGAGAGACAGAGAGAGACAGAGACAGAGACAGAGAGACAGAGAGAGAGAGACAGAGAGAGAGAAACAGAGAGAGAGACACACACAGAGAGAGAGCCTAAAGAACCTAAAGACCTGATGGGAGCTGGTGCTGGCTTTCAGAATGGCTCATGGCTCACTCTGCAGCTGGTAGCTGCAATCCTGTTGCTGGGAAGGGACACAGAAAGACATGGACTTGTGTATACTCCAACAGTGTCCTCATAACCAGGCAGCTAGCTTCCATCAGAGGGAGCGATGAAAGGGAAAGAGGGAAGAGGGGGAGAGACCTCAGTGCCTTTTATGATCTAGTCTCAGCAGTGACAACCTATTTTCTCTACCATATTTTTTTTAGTGTTAGGGAGTGAACACTGGGCTTTTTGCACATGCTAATTTACATGCACTACCACTGAGCCACACCCCCAAACCCTACCACATTGTTTGTTACTCAGGCCACATTTAAGAGAAGAGGAATTTAGCTCCCCTTCTTAAGGGATGTGTCAAGTAAATGTGGTTATATTTCCAAACCATAAAATACAAAGAATGCAAAAAAACCTGGTTAACTATTTTCACCAATTCAAAAAAGTATATTCCCTGCCCAAGAAAACTAGACATGCTCTAAAATTTTATAGCACTTATATGAAAGAAACATGATTGGGGTTTTCCTAAATGTGACTATGGTCTCAAAAAATTTCAGTATTACAAATAACAAATTGAGAAGCTGAAATAAATGTTTCTAAACTATCAAAAAAAATTTTCAGGGTTAGGGATGTAGCTTAGTGTTAGGAGATTTACCTAGCATGTATGAAGTCCCTGGGTTCAAGCCTCAGTATGGGGGAGAGAGAGGGCATGGAATATATATATATATATTCCCACCTATAAGCCTGGCAGCCTATAAGACAGCCTGTCTTTCAAGGCTATTCTGGAACTTAGTCACTATAATATATATCTCATAGTGGCACATTGCCTGTAACTTCAGCACTCAGGAAGCTGAGGATCACTGTGAATTTGGGACCAGCCTAGACTGCATGGTGAGTTCAAGGCCATCATGAACTACATAGCAAGATTCTATCTCAAAAAACAGATCTTGCTAAATTGCCCAGGCTGAGATTAAACATGGGAATCTTCCTGCCTCAGCCTTGAATCACTATTAGGATTACGGATAAGTGCCACAACACTCAGCTAGGTTTTATGTCTTTGTGCAGGGCTGCATGCAGGGCTGATTTCTGGGTACCAGTCAAAGTTCTTTCCTAGAGCTTAGTGTATAAAAAGGCCACACTCAAAACTTAAAGCTCAGCAGCTACTGACATGAAATTTTTAATAATTTTTCATTCAACTTGTGTTTTATGGCAAAGCATAATGAGGCAGGCAATAGAGCACAGAAGAGAGAGTAGAATCTGGGCACATGTGTCACTCTACTGCTTGCAATCTTTTTGCTCCCCGAGGATCAGTTCACCTACCTGCTTCCTGATGCTAAGATAGCCTGGCAGCTGCCCTGTCTAGCCTTGTGAACATAGCCATCCTCCCCTCAGGGACCTCAGCATGCATGCAGGTGGGTGAGATCGAGTCAGACTCTGTGCATCCTCTCTGGTGGGCACAGCACTTGCAACCCATCACAGGTAGTACCAGGGTGTATTTGGGTAATGTGGGAGGAGGAAATTTCTCCCCTTACCCTGATCCAGCTACCTGTCATGAGGCCTGCAGTATCCTTGAAGGTTTCCCTCTGCCTGCGGCTAGGGTGGTATGGGAAAGGAGGGTGCCCAGCTCAAGCCATCAGACGCCATGTGAGCATCAATACTGGCCCATCTATCCCATGCCCAAAGTTGTGCCTGCTTGGCCTGATCTGTGTGCAGTGGGCCTCCTCTTCTTCCTTCCAACCTTCCTGGGGCCACCCTGTGTCCATCCCTTCCAGCCAGCTCTCTAGGCACCCTGCACAGACAAGTCAGGAAACATGAATTATGTGCTTCTATCACCGACTAGTGTGTGTCTTGCTTTAGTGACAATGGAAATTAAAATCTAAACCAATGGTATGAATTTAAAGGCAAAAACTTTGAGAAGTAAGCTTAAGGAGCTGATAAAGATCAAGTTGGTCTCTTAGAAAAGGAAAGCAAAGGAAGACAGGGGAAGAACTCCCGCTGGAGGTGCTGGAGGGCCATACTATGATGAAGGGAATTAGGCTGGTCCATTCAGAAAAGAATGGAGACCAGACTTATGGGCTGTGTTGGTTAGTTGGGATCTTGTCAATCGATCTCTCAGTCTTGATTTTGGAGCTGAGCTCAGGATGATCATCATGACTTGGTAGGTGATTCAGTTCCCTTGGGATGATTGTTCTTGCGTGGGACAGCCTGTCTTTCAAGGCTCTTGTGGAATCCAACTCTAGGTTGAGGGCTAGGAAGACTTCTGGGACTAGCTGAATGTTGCCGTAAATCTCCTATTCTGGTGTTCTTAGTCTTAAAGGCTTATGAGATAATCTAGGTAAAGTTAGGGCTCAGAGACCTCATCTTACCAACTTTTAGACTGACATTAACTAAATGATTAGTGTGCTATAGACAGAGTTTAGAAGGATTTGACTTAGAATTTTACAAAGCTATTTTATGTTTAGTTACCTATTGGGTATTTGTAGGCCTAGATGTAGACTCATGGTTTTTAGCAAAAGCCACTTTTAAGTTCCTGTCTAGATTAGAAGAAAACACAAAACATGCTTATAATGAGTAGTAGGTTAAGGGCCTAGGAGTTTGTCTTCTGTCCCTATAGTGGCTTTTAACTATGTAGCTATCAGCAATCCTTCATCTGAGTTAAATGCTGTGGTGTTTGCATTCATGACTGACATTGCCCAATATAAACAGTAAAACATATGATCATAATTTACAATTTTTTTTTGTAATTTTCTTTCTTTCTTTTTTTTTACTTTTTGAGATAGGGCCTCATCATGTAGTTCAGGCTGGCCTTGAACTCACAGTGATCTTCCTGCCTCAGTCTCTCAAGTGCTAAAATTTTAACCTCTTAAATAGCAAGCAAGAAAAACTACAAACGGGGTGATTGCAAAAGAAAAAAGCTTTGTGTTTTAAAACATTTAAAATCATTTCCCTCACCCTACTCTGCCCACCCCTTTATTATTATTTTTTGGTACTTGGACTCAGGCCCTGGGTTTGCTTGGTAGGCACAGTGCTCTACCTCTGAGGTACACCGTAAGCTCTTTTTAAAATATTATTTTTAATTTTGAAACAGGGTCTGGCTATGTTGTTGAGGGTGACCTCCAATTTGTGATCCCGAATAACTGAAATCACAGGCCTGAGCTGTTGCACAGCCTTCCTCTTCTATTTTTTGAAATAGCAACTGAAAATTTTCTTTTGCAGCAGATCTGCAAATTATCATTATATAGCAGGGTCTGTGTTCAACTTGTTCTGCTTGTCATTTCTTGTGCTTATTCTGTAGAACTGTTCACCTTTCTATCCTTCATGTCTGCAGTAGGCAAATGCTCTATCACTGTGCTGCACCCCCAAGACCCTGTGTTTTCATTTTTTATTTTGTTTTATTCCAGTACTGGAGCTTGAACCCAGGGTCTCTGCGCTGAGTTACATTCTCAATTGCTTTTTAATTTACTTTAATTTTTCTGTTGAGACAGGAGCTGCCTGAATAGCTGAGGTGCCCATACCGAGCTCCAACTTGCCATTCTTCTGTATCAGTCTTCCAGAGTGTTGGGATTTCAGGCAAGCGCCTCCACGCCCGGCTGGGCATTCTCATTCGTAAAGACAATTCTCAGAATGGTAAAGTCTTTGGGTTCTACAAGAACCTTATCATTTAGGGCTCCCACAATGCCGACCTTGAGAAATGCGATCACAGATTGAATTTTTTTCTTACACTTTTTCATACAATAAGCTTGTAGCACTCACGACCAGCAGTAAGGGAGGAAAAAAGAAAAATGAAATCCACATAAGGGAGTGTCATTTCAAAAACTAAAGGAAATCGCTGGCACCCAGGGAGAGGCCGGAAGCTAGACAGAGGGAAGTGGGGGAGGACTCCGGGTCCGCAGCCGAAGGCGCCGCTTGGTTACCGCACGGGACCTCCGTAGGGCTGGCGCGTCCCCTTTAAAGGGCGTGATCGAGGGCGTGGCCCAGCAACCGCCCGCTCTCCCAGGCTGCCTCGCGCGGGAGACGGCAGTTCGGCCACGTCCCCTGGCCACGTCGCGCCGCTCTCGCCATCTTCGCTGGTTCCTCTTCGGGCCGCCGTTACCTGCTAAGCCGCCGAGCCCCGGGGCCGCCGCGCCGACCGCCGCTTCCATTATGAACATCTTCCGGCTGACCGGGGACCTGTCCCACCTGGCGGCCATTGTCATCCTGCTGCTAAAGATCTGGAAGACGCGCTCCTGCGCTGGTGAGCGACCGGGCGAGGCCCGAGAGGCTGGGATGCGGGGGATCCTAGCGCTCCGAGGCCCGCGAGGGCCTGACACACCCCCCTCAGCAGGCTGTGCGGGAGCCTGGGTCCGAGTGGACTTCCCATCAGGGATGGTGTGTCGCAGCGTCGGACCCCGCTAAGGGCTCAGCCCGCTTGCGAACTCGACCCGTCGGGCGCTGGCCGGACACTGCGCGGGGCCGTGTTGTGTCTGAAAAGTTTGCAAGGACAGTTGGAGTCTTGCAGACGTGTCTTCTCTCCCCACACCCTCGTATATTTCCTCGTGCTTTTCTCGGGGCGAGATCCTGTTTGGGGTACTCGCGAATCAGTGAGATTGGCGGGAGGAGGATGGGCAGGACCGCGGCTGGCTGGGCCTGACGTGGCAACCAGGCCACCCGGGAAGGTAGGGCGGCCGGGATGGGGGAAAGAGGTCATTCTGATGCCCACCCTGCCCTTGCAAGGACTGAGCTATAGAACGTGTCAGACCTGTCCTTAAAATGGTTTTCTTTTCCCCAAACTTAATGATTTGGGATCACACCCACTGCCGAGGGCCATGTTGGAAAGTCTTTAAGATAATTTTTTTTTAGTGCACTTCATGGTGCTGCGGGAAGAGAACTTCCAAAGTGGCTTTTTCTAATAACGGATTCTCTTAAGACTACGTGGGTACCACTGAGCTCATGCAGTTCCTGCCTACACGTCACCACTGAGTTAGCTGTGGCCCACCCCAGGAGTACACACACATTTCCAGCAATCATTGTTGGAAGGTAGTGAAATGTATTTTTCTCAGGTAATACCTGTGTTCTACATTTCATTAACCCTAAGAACTTAAGAATTGTGAATTTTAAAATTATTTCTTAAAACAAGAGCCCTTTCTTAAACTTGTTTTTGATACTATGGCTACAGTGAAATAACTTCTGATGAATTTAAGAATTTAATTTTAGTTAAATGTGGTAGTGCATGCCTGTAATCTCAGCACTCCAGAGGCTGAGGTAGGATGATCACGAAAGTTCAAGACCAACCTAGACTACATATCGAAACCCTGTCTCAAAAAAACACTTACTTTTTTCACAGATAGCAAAAGATGTGAGTCCTAAAGAACTTCGATGGCAGAGATTCCATTTAGCTGTTTTATTTACAAAAATCTCCACATCTAAAGTGACACCTTGTCTTTGACTGCAGTTTGCGGGCCTCACTCACCTGTCTCTGAAACTTAGCTGACATCCAGGAAGTAAGCAAAACAAAAAAAGACCTTTGAGCAATCAAAATAGATTACAAAGTCCAAATCCTGAAACCAGTGTGTCTGACTTGAAGGTGATCTCTCAATTTTTAAAGTTCTGGGAAACTCAAATGTATTATTTCCCCTGACAATCATTTAATTGCAGTGATTTCGATAGTTACTATTTAAGTATTTGCTGTGTATTAAGTAGTCAGGTTTAAGTGCAGTCCTTCAAATAACCTTATGGGGCAGGTGCTATTATCCCTGTTCTGAGAAGGAAGGAACTGATTGTCAGGGAGGTGAGTAAGGTAGTAGTAGAGCCAGAATTGAAACAAAATCAGTAATTGATAGTTTAAGGTTTTAAATAAATGTCTGCTTTGCCTTAATCAATTTTAGTTTGAATGTTAGATGCCAATTTTAGGGTTTTTTTTTTTTCCGACTCATATACTACTTTTTTATTTTTATTACTTCTTTATTGATTTATTGTGTTACCGGTGGGTGAACCCAGGAACCTCGCACTCAGCTACATCACTAGTCCTTTTGGGGTTTTTTTGAGACAAGATCAAATTTTAGTGACTCCGATTTACAGTCCTCTTTCTTCAACTGCCCAGAGTGCAGGGATTACAGGAGTGAACCACCATGCCCGGATCTGGTGTTACTTTTAATCTTCAGGTTTACTCTTCGAGTCTTTTCCTTTTCTTTTTTTAAATTTCTCAGACTTTCTTCTGGCAGGTAGTTAGTGTTAGAGTGTGTTGTCTTTTAAACTAGTATCACACTTAGATGTTTGGGAGAACTTGGTACAACCGGAGAAAATAGAGTTCTAGGGGAACCTTGAGTAACAAGGAAAAAGGGAGAGGCTTTTTTGTTGTTGTTGTTGTTTTAATATTCACTTTCCATTTGGAGACTCGTTAAAGAAAATGTAAAGTACTTCAGTTAAAATGCTAAGAAAAGAAGATAAATAGGTGAGTTAAATTTGTATTTCCCAAGTATTCCTTGGGGGTTATTAAACTATTGTCATTTTCAAATTAGGATGATTTTATTTTGGTGTAGGATTTTTTCTGACCTTTCAAAAAAACCAAATCATTGAGATCATTTTTTCAGAATTAAATGATAAATTTGACCAACTGCATTGTTTTTCCATTCTAAATTATAAAAGTTGTTTAGAGGCTTTTAAAAGAATAAGAACTTGATAAGAGTTTCTCAAGTAACTGGAATAGGAGACATATACATCCAGATTGTGTTTCTCATCTTGAAAATACTAGGTTCATTTCAAATTGAGGTTCATTTCAATGATTTCAGCACCAGTGTTAAAGTGCCTGCAGCCTCAGGACCTTAGTGCTTTTTTCCCTAAGGATGAGGGAAGAGGGAGACTAATGAGGAACTGGAGACTGTTTTCCTGGCAGTCTAATGCCAGAACAGATAACTTTACAGACCTGTTATAAAGTGAAGTCTGTGTGTTGATCTCATTTGAATCTTCTTTCTGTTGTGGCTATATCTGTCATTGTCACTGCAGAGGGGTACCAAAAAAAGAAGTGTAAATGTCCCATATTCCTGAACTGCCATTACCATTGCTGCTTGATCTGTAGTATGCTCAAGTTGTCACTGTTTTTCACTTAAACCCTGACCTGGATAACTTTGAGACAATAAGCTGTGGTTTTTAAATGAAGGGCTACCACCTATGTATAGATTTTCTAGTAGGTGTAGCATCTACTGAGTTTAAATGACTAGCGGAATCTTCTGAAATTCATGACCCCATCTTCCTTTGGTCTCTCTCCTTCCCTTCTAGGTGTTGTTATGCAAGTTGTAAACTTTTCAACCTACTAGATGTGACAGGAGCAAATTATCCCAGTATTTCACATAAGTAAGATAGTTTGGATTTTTGAAGTAAATAGAAAACACCTCATCTTTGTTATACTGAGTACTTCTAGATGCTTTCACATCATGTTGCCAGCTCTCCTTGCCTCTGTCCTTTTTTAGTGCCAGGCTCTTGAGTAATCTTTGCTCTCAAGCATTTATTGACCACCCACTGTGTGCAAAACATTGAGACATAACTCAGAATAGCAACTGGGAGCAATCAGAGTTTACGCTCTCAAGAAAGTTGCAGTCAAATTTTTTAAAAAAGAAATTTGCAATGGTAGAATGTGTATTTAGCATGTGCAAGGCCCTAGGTTTTATCCTCACCACTGAAGGAAAAACAATGGAAAATTCAGTTGAAATGGTAAAGTATGCATGAAAAGATAAAATTGTGCCTGGGGTGGTGGAACATGCCTGTAATCCCAGCTACTCAGGAGTCTGAGGAAGAGTATTAAGAATTCTGGGCAATTTAGTGAAACCCTCAAGTAAAAAATAAATCCTATAGGTATAAAACAGAAAAATCCCAAAGAGGTTGCCTCTGACTTTCCAAGAAGTATGTAAGACCTCTGTAGGTAAAAGCAATAAACTGAGAACCAATCTATAGCATATGTGACAGGTTACTATTCTTAATAGTAAGTCCTCCAACAGAGGAAGATAACGTAATAGAAAAGTATACAAAGTTGGCAATTTACAGAGGAATAATAAAAGACTAGTTAAGCATAATGGAATGCCCCGCCTCACTGGGAGGTTAGTACTTGGGTATTAAAATGGTATCACATACCCTTATTTGCCTGCTGAGTAGGACAAAGTAAAAGATTTACAGTCTGCAATACATTGTGGATGCTGTGGATGTGGATGTAGCTCATTGGTACAGCATTTACTTAACATGCATGTGGCAAAGGTCTGGAGAACAGGGCAGTCCATCTGGTATTGAAGGATATGTAAATTTACACAACCTCTCTAGGATAAGTTTGACAATATTTATCAAAATTTAACATCTTTATGACTTGTCCCAACAATTCTAGGGAATCAATTACAGAATTATTATATATAAACACAATATGTGGGCATACAGTGTTCACTGTACAAAACACTGCATAGATACATATGTTTTTGCAGAGCTTAAAATAAGTAACTCAAATGTCCATTAATGAAGTAGGTGCACAAATTTTGGTATGTCTACACTATGAAACACTATGCAGCCATTATAAAGAATGAACCACGGCTAGGCATATTAGTGTCAGGGAAAGACAAATCTGAGGTATTAGGTTTGAAAAGTAAGTTGTAAAGCACAAGTTTGGTCCCACTTTACGGGTTAAACATGTATGTAGTGCACACATGAATACACGTACTAGAAAAGGGACTTTAGCTGGGTGTGGTGGTACACACTTGAAATTCCAATATGTACCCCTGAAGGCTGAGCCAGGTGAATCTTGAGTTTAAGCCCAGCCTGGGCAGCTTAATGACTTAGCAGGACTTTCTCTTAAAATAAAAAAAGGTCAGGGATGTAGGTCAGTGTAAAGGCCCTGGGTTCTATCGCCATTAGTGAGGGAGAAGAAAAACTAAAAAGACTTGGGAAGATAATGCTTAAATTAGAGTTGAAAGGGCTATTTAGGGGGGCTGGGGATTTAGCTCAGCGGCATAAGTGCCTGCCTTGCAAGCAGGCAGTTGTGAGTTTAATCCCCGGTACCGATAAAAAAAGAAAAAGACAAAAAAAAAAGAAAGGGCTATTGGGAAGATGTTTTTGTTTTTCTATTTTTTTAACGCCCTTTTAAGTTTTTGAATAATTAACCTAAAAATAAAATAATTAGCATGCATTTAACATACTATAGAAATGATCCCTGAAAGTGTAGCCTTAGCGTGCATTTAAGAAATGAGAAAAAAATGACAAAGCAGTATGTAGTAACCTTTCTTACTTACTTTCTTACTTACATTCATGCTGGCTAGTTTAGTATAAAGCACTTAAACTTTTTCTCTTTCCAGCAAAATTCATATAATTTGTCCCCATTGAAAGATGCAGAAAATCGGTTAGATTAGATACAAAGGATCCCAGATTACTCTGTCTCACTGAGCTCATTTTTCCTGTCACTCTCTGTAATAGGGAAAAGCACCTTGTTACAGAGCAGTTCTTAACCATCCAGTTGTGGATTCCAGGGGGAGAACCAGACATTCTGAGACTGGGTAGGAACAGCTGCTGCCCTGTGCTCTTTCCTGGTGGCCTCACTAGCCTACAGCACTTGGTTGCATCCCTGCTGTTACAGGAGAATAATTTTGAAATCTCATGTTTGGTTGAGGAACCTGTTTTATGAACCAATAGGAATGTAAGAAGTGCAACTTTTAACCTGTATGTTCAAGTGCATAGTTGTATCTTTTTATAAACTTTTCTTGCCCCTGTGGGAAGAAAGAAGAATGATGTTAAGTTTAATAAATGATTTCCATTTGGCAAATGAAACTCCAGAATATGGATATTTGGTGCATTTGGGTTGGAACATCAGTTTCTGAAATGTTTGCAGTGAGTATTCTGTTGAGTGCTTATTACTTGATAGCCTTAGAGGGTTTTGGTTTAAAAAGGGAAAGATAGTGGAGGGGATGTAACTCAGTGATAGAGCATTTGCTTAGCATGCACAATGCCTGGATTCATTCCCATACATTAAATTCAGAAAAATAAGAACAGGGTGGTAGCCATTCTGACTTAGTAGGTTCTTGCCCCTTCCCCTCCCGTCTTCAGCTGGGATCCCTGCCTTCCTGGGAAGACAGGAATTTTTGCAGTTTTAAGGGAAAAGCTGCTACTTGCTCATCTGGATCCAAGCCTGGGAAAAGAGTGTAAGAACTAAGTAAACCCCCTCCCATTTCGAGCCTGCCAGTTCCAGCATGGGTTCTACACTATGGGACCTCCTGCCTGTCCTTCCCTCTGCCCTGTGGTCACCCAAGGGCTCTCCTACATTCTAGCTGGTAGTAAATTAGGCAGAGCCAGAACAACTGTTCTTTTACAGACATAGAGACATGCACAGAACAACTAGGAGATTTTTTAGAAGTATTATCCCAGAATACTATGCAAAGAGAATTTGCCCCATGACGTGAAGGTAAAGCGAACTCCATATTCTTTTGTCCTTGTGTTCATTCATTCAGTGAATATTTTCTGGACCCTGCAGTGTGTAAGGCCCAATGCCCAGAACAGGAAGTAGAATAAGGACAACCCTTGCCTTTAGAGATCTCTGTGTCAGGTAGGGGTTTAGAGGAGGAAACAGCAGGGACCACATTTTTATAAGGCTGTAAGAGAAGCTAAGGCAGCAGCTGGCGTGGAGCCGTTCCCGTTATGTGATTGCTGAACGAATCAACAATGCCGAGCCCAGGGAAGAGGGTACCTCAGAAATGACCAGGGGTCTCTAACGGGAATAATCAGGCAATATATTATGGTCTTTGGTTTTTTGTACAACAATGCTGAAAACAAGGACAAAAATCTGCCTGACTTCTGAAGCTATACTAGAATAAACCCTTTATGGCAGAATTTGCCCATCTATATCCTCTAAATTCTTACTTAAAATATTAGAAAGAACCATATAACAAAGGCATCAACAAATATGTGAACTATCTGCTCCCTTTCTCTCTCTTTCCTTACTTGGGCTGTTACTTCAACTTCTAGTGTCTGCTTCATTCATTTTTCTTTGGGACATTGATTTCTAATAGGAAAAAAAGTGCTTCATTCCTGAGGAGCTTCATTCCTGAGGAGAAGACTGAACAGAGGAGATATGCCACCCAATCTTCTCCTTTGGCTCTTGAAATTGGTTTCTGTTGGTGAATGTAGAAGGATAGGTTCTGCTTTTTCTTAATTTCTATTTAGATGTTTTTGTGAACAGGCTGGAACTATACTTATTTAAATACTTAGTAACATTCTTACATCCAGAATCTTAGTTTCAGCCAGCCACAAAAATGATTATAAAATGTCATTGAAAACCAGTGCGATTCAGTGTGGTGCATGCCTATAATCCCAGCACTTAGGAAGCTGAAGCAAGAGAATTGCTGTGGGTTCAAGGCCAGCCTGAGGTATGTAGTGAGTTCAAAGCTACCCTGAACCTCATAGTGAGACCCTGTCTCAAAAAAAAAAAAACAACAAAGAAAAAGCTGGGCACAATGGAGCATGCCTGTAAATCCCGGTACTTAGGAGGCTGAGGCAGGAGGATTACTGCAAGTTTGAGACAAGCCTGGGCCACAAAATGAGCTCAGAGCCAGCCTAAACTAGTGAGACCCTATCTCAAAAAGATCCCCCCCCCAAAAAAAACCAAAGAAAAGAAAATGTGATTTTCATGTTCCACAGGAGTGTTATAATTGACTTGTGTGTAGTGATTTTTTTGTTAAATATGTGCTTACTAAAGTTGTAATTGTTAGTGCCAGGGATTTAGCTCTGTGGCATAAGTACCTGCCTGGCAAGCACAAGGGTATGAGTTCAATCCCCAGTACCAAAAATAAATAAATAAAATAAAATTGTAATTGCTAACCTGAGTTGGTAGTGCACAATTCCAACAGTCAGGAGGCTGAGGTAGGAGGATCACCATGAGTTTGAGATTAGCCTGGGCTACATAGCCAGATCCTGCCTCAAAAATAAATTCAATTCTTTCATTTAAACACACACACACACACACACACACACACACACACACACACAGAGGTAGAGAGAAATTGTATGACATTTATATTTTAGATGAGAGTGGGTAGTTTCTGTTGTTTTGTCAGCTTTCAGCTTTCATAAAGAATTTACTGTTTCCAACATCAGTTTGCACCTTTGTCTCAAAAACACTGGGCCACATGTAAATATCAGAGAAGCCATGAGCATGCTCTGATCACTCCCTGACCCCCCAGTGTCCCCCAGCTGAGTGTGAATGTGCTGCTCTGGAGGTGAGTTGGTGGATGGAGGTGTGTCAAATAGCTGCCTTTGAACATTGGCTGTAGGGAGTTTCCTGCCCTTGTGTTGCTGTGGCATCCAGAAACATTTTAATACAAATAGGAAGTTGGTTGTGTGATGAATCTCAGAGATGGAGTTTTAGAAGTTGTTAATATATCTGAATAAATGCTGTTCTCAGCAAAGTGGTCACCTGGGGAGTTATCCCAGAGGAAGGGGTGTTTCTGCTCAGACTCCTACCTAAAGCAGTGCTCCTCACCTGACTCCTTGTTTCCTAATCAGAGTAGATCTCAACTCCATCCTCAAAAGTTTTAAAACTTAAAAGTTTTGCTTTAAAATGGAAAGAGCTGAGGTAAAGACAAGTTATAGCACTAAATAATAGCACAAGTATTTAAAAATTATTCCTAGTCAAGGTGACATAGTTGAGAAATAATAATGTTCGATTAAAAGGTACACATCCTGATATGTTAGTGGCAGCTTAAGGAAATAATTTTCCTGGAGTCACCCACATAAACAAAAATTGGCAGAGCCTCTGAAAAGGAGCACATTTAGTAGTGTTACAGGGAAGAAAATACTGAAACTGCTCCTGTTAACTTACAGCGGTCCCCAGCCCTTGACCCCGTATGTCTTACTTTCCCCATCCGTGCTTCTTCAGAGTGCCTTGCCTTGCCTTTCTTTTCCTTCCCTTCCCCTTCTCCTCCCCTTCCCCTCCCCCCTTCTCTTTCTTTTTTGGAGACAGGGTTTCACTGTGTACTGCAGGCTGACCTTGAACTCGCTCATGTAGCCCAGGCTGTTCTCAAACTCAGCGATCCTCCCCTTCTGCTTCAGCCTCCCAAGTGCTGCAGTTATAGGCGTGTGCCACTATGCCTGGCTTTCCAGGACTATTCTAACACTTTGCTTTTGTTTCTTTAGGTATTTCTGGGAAAAGCCAGCTTCTCTTTGCACTGGTCTTCACAACTCGTTACCTGGATCTTTTTACTTCATTTATTTCATTATATAATACATCTATGAAGGTATGGTATGACATTCAATAGAATATAATTTCTCTATGATACACAGGCCCATGGAAACTTATGTCAGCCATGTGGGGTTTTTTGTTTTTTTGGTTTTTTTAGATTGCTGGTTTGATAAAATGGTTTATATTTTTGGAGCCATGTGTTTTTAATTGAAAACTTTAAGAATTATATCTAAATGTGCTGCTCTTAACTTTCAGATCACTTTGTGTAACTAGGAACAGGTATCATTAGGCATTTTTTTTGTGTTTTGAACAGTATCTAATTAAAGTACTCTGAATTTAGAGATTTTACATTTAAATCTCTTAAAGCTTTTGATAATTGTATAAAAGAGAGAGACGGTTATTAGATTTCCAAGCAGTAGGAAATTGCATATTTCCCAGAGAAATCCAACAAGTCAGTACATAATGAGAAATTAGAGCCAGGACTCCTGGCTCTAGTTCCTCATTTTGTTATTGTGTGAGGCACTGTGTGTAGGCTTCTCCTTTTTTTCTTTTTCGCTTCATTTTTTCCTTAAACTTTTGCCATTTGTGCCATCATTATTGCTTGTGTCATGCTTAAATAACATCTGTGTGATAATTTGCTTAATAAAATATTTTAACTTGTCCTAAGCATTGATATCCATGACCTCTTTGATGTCTTTGTATTTTTCCTGGCATTAATGCAAATGTCTATTAAAGTACAAAAATGTTTATGTGGTAGCTACTTTTTTTACACACCCAGGGATACATGTGTCACACTTGGGGATGCGTTGGACTAAGTGAGCTTCATCCTTTCCTGTAGTTGTTGTAAGACAAGTGAAGTCTTACAGTGTGATGGGGGGAGGGGGCGATCATCATGGCACTGTATAAAGGACTACAAGTTGTGACGTGTGCTGCAAGGCAAAGTAGAGTCTTAGGATGTGCAGTAGGAGTCTGACTTCTTCATTCTACACATTCTGATCACCTGGTACCTGAGCTATGTACTTGGTTATGGGATTTTGTATGTGTGTGTGTGCCAGGAATTGAACTCAGGACCTTGTGCTTGCCAAGCAGGCGCTCTGTCTCTGAGCTACATCCCTGGCCCAAGAAGTAATATTTATAAGAAAATAATATTTAAACTAAAGCCTATTGAAACAGTTGTTTCCCCCAAGACACATACAGACACACACACACACACACACACACACACACACACACACACACATACACACTGCATTCAAAAGTGTTGTCATAAGCACAGATTAAAGTAGACAAAGCAATATTTGAGTCTATGGTCTTTATTTAAAAACAAACGTGAGTTACCTATAATCACTCCGTTCTTCAATACCTAATGGTGTGACCTAGTAATCAGGAAATAATGTGTTAAAATGGCTGGGTGCAATGCCTGCTGTCTGGGCAAACTCCCAAGAAGCCATTCAAGGTGTGTGAGCCAGAATTCTCCTCCTCCTGTCCTGCCAAGAGTCCCAGCGCTTGGAGGACGTCTTGCTTGCTTGGATACAGTTTTTAAGCATCATGTCCTGCATGTTAGCAGAGTGACAGCCAAGTTGATCTGCTCACATCTTTTTGCTTTAACTGCCAAGTGCTGTGGGGACACAAGCAGCTGTCATTCGCCAGCTGCTCCTAAGGCCTTGGACTGAACCCTGCTAGCTATAGGCTGGGCCTAGAGAAACGACCCCACCAGCTGCTATGAGCCTCAGCAGATTCTCAAGGCAGTGTAATACTGAGGTACATGCATGTGTACTTTGGTTATGCATGTGTATGGTTATAACCAACAATTTTGATACCATTTTGACTGTTTATTTGCAGATATAACTGCATAATGAAGTACCAGGTACTGTTTTAGTGTCTTTGTAGTTTTTTTAAAAAGTATTTGGGGCTTTGATGATTGCTCTCATTTTCCATTGAAGCTGTTTGCCCAAGCATTTTTCCTAAGTCTCTCTAGTTGTATTTTCTAAGGAGAAGTAGTACCAGGCTGTGTGGTCCCTATCCAGTAATTTGACAATTGATGTAACTTCAGGATCTCAGACTTTTCTTGGGGTCAGATAGTGAGACCATGTTTGACTTTTGTTTGTTTGTTGGAGACAAGGTCTAATCTATGTAGTTCAGGCTGGCCTTGAACTCTGTGTAGCCCAAACTGACCTTGAACTCCCAGTGATCCTCCTGCCTCAGCCTCCCAAGTGTTGGGATTACAGGCCAGTGCCACTGTGCCAAAGCTGACCTTTTGAAGATAAAAGCACAAATACCTTAATTATGAACTCTTGAGTAGCTATGCTATTGTGTACACAAAATTGCTGTTTTGGAGGGAGCAGTTTATAAATTATTGATTACTAGGTTTTACTTTGTTAGGAGACAAAATTTCTTAACAATCTGAATGTTCAGTGTTAAAGTAACACAATTTAAGTAAAAATATTCATGGCAGAGTTTAACATGAATTACATTGTTTGTCTTTGCAAAAATGCTACCTGAGAAATAGTATCATGCTAGAAGAAGTCTGTTAAGTTTGAACTACATTAAACTGTATTTTTTTTTCTTTAACTGGTATATAACAGTTTAAAATAAGATTAAAAATATGTATCTTTGGCAGTTTCTTCCAAAGATAAACACAACATTTGACCAAGTAAACTCACTCCTAGATTTAAACTCAAGAGAAATGACAATTTAAATTCACACAAAAGCCAGTAAAAACGTCTATGAGCAGCTTTATTTATCATCCCCACAAACAGGAGACAGCCACTAGTCCTGTAACTGGATTGTGAGTAAACAAACTGATGTAGTGCAAAAAAAAAGAACATTTATTTTTATTTTATCTTTTTGAGACAGGGTTTCACTCTGCAGTTTAGGCTGGCCTTGAACTTTGTAGCCCAGTCTGGCCTCAAATTCACAGAAATCCTTCTGTCTCCGCCTTCCGAGTGCTGGGATTACAGGCATGCACCACCGTGCCAGGCTAATAAAATGAACAGTGTATTAATACATGTGTGATTAGTTATCCCTGACTGCAAGAGACAGAGGTAACATGACTTCATTTACGTGGTATTCTAGAAAGAGCACAACTAGGGACAGAACACACCAGATGACCAGAAGTAAAGGCTGGGGAGGCCTGACTACAGAGGCAGCATGGTGAAATTTTGGGCATAATGGAACTATTCTGTGTCCTCATTGTGGTGGTGGTTACATGACATAGAACCAGGTACCCACCAAAAGCGAATTGCGCTTAAACTTTAAAAAAAGAAAGAAAGAAAATCGGATATATAGGTGATACAGAAAGCAGAGAGAGTTGGAACAATTGCAACATACTGACCACCTGGTATTTTTCTTTTGTTTTCAGCTTATCTACATTGCCTGCTCCTATGCCACAGTGTATCTGATCTACATGAAATTTAAGGCAACCTATGATGGAAATCATGACACCTTCAGAGTGGAGTTTCTGGTGGTCCCTGTGGGAGGCCTCTCATTTCTAGTCAATCACGATTTCTCTCCTCTTGAGGTTAGTTAAGAGGCTATTTAGTGGTTATGTCTGGCTCCCTAGATTAAGAGACCTATTGGCACATAATGTAGGTTTTTACGGGATTTTTTGTTTGTTTGTTTTCCAGTTTGGCAGAGTTCTGGTGGAACATGAGCTATATGGTATAAAGAAATCATAGATAGGAATCATAGTCAGCACCCAAGTATTTGAGTGTCTGCTGACGGCTTATCCCTGCTGCACCTTAAGAATATAGAGTCAAAATAATATTTTTTTGTCTTAACTTCTGTGGTACCAAACCCAGAGCCCTGTCTGTTTGTCCTCTTCCCTACTCTGGTCAGCTTTTGTTTCCCCTCCATGTACCACTGTCTCACGTGAATATTATATCTATACATCTTCTAAGCAGCACTGCTATGTTTCTCATCCTTAGGAACAGTGTCCCTGGCACCATACCATGAGGTGACCTGTTCCTCAGTGGCCTTTTATGCCTTTTTATGAAGAGGTACTGCTTTGCTTGCGGGGGTTATTAAATTACTGCACTGTTGGTTGTCTTTGAAGGACTATTTACAAGTCAGTCTTCAGCATGAATAAAGTGCCATGCTGGGCAGAGAATTTGTATAATTACAGCTCTGACTTCTGACCCCTTTGTTTTAACTACATCAAAAAACCTAAAGAATAAGAAAAAATGCTGCTGCTTCTTGACTTATGATGACATTACATCCTGATACACTCATTATAAGCTGAAAATATTCTAAGTTTAAAAAGTGTATGGTCAGGGATAAAGCTCAGTGGCATAGTGCCTGTCTGGCAAGCATGAGGTTGTGAGTTTGATTCCCAGTACTGGAAAAAAAAGTGTTTAATACCCAACTTTAGAATATTGTTTGTTTCCCTCAGGATGACCTGGCATACTGGGCTTTGGGAGCTTTCTTCTCTGTCCAGTGTCACAAGAATATTGTAATGCATGTCACTAGCCCAGGAAAAGATCAAAATTCTGAGTATGAAGGCTGGTAATGTAGCTTGTGTAGCATGCGTAAGGCCCGGATTCAATCCCTAGCACTGCCAAATAAGATAGACAAACAGATGATTTCTTCTGACTGTGCATTGCTTTTGCACCATGGTAAAGTTGAAAAATCATAAATTGAACATCGTAAGTCAAAGACTGATCTATGGTGAACAATTTAGCCTGGGAATATATCAGTGAGGACAGTTGGCAGTGAGGAAGTAGTGGGAACCTAGTTATAAGTAAGTATTGTTTATTCTGGCAGAAAGCAGGGTTGATTCAGGACTGCAATGGATAAGCTTATCCAGAAGGAACATCACATAGTAGAAATTCACAGAAAATTTTTAGTGGCCAGGTTGAGTACACACCTATAATCCCAGCTACTTGGGAGACTGAGGCAGGAAGATAGAAAGTGTGTTTTTGTTTTAGTTATTTGAGAAAGGGTCTTGCTGTGTAGTTCAGGCTAGCCTCAAACTTACAACAATCCTTCTGCCTCAGCCTCCTGAGTGCTGCAGTTATAGATGTGTGATATCCAGCCTGGCAACTTAGCAACTCAGTGAGACTCTTAAACCAAAAAGGGCTGGGAATATAGCTCAGTGCAATCCCCAGTACCTCAATAAATCAAGTAATTAATTAAAAGGGCTGATACCGCCAGGGATTTAGCTCAGCAGCATAATAAGCACCTGCCTGGCAAGCATGAGGTCATGAGTTCAATCCCCAGTACAAAAAAGAAAAAGGAAAAAAAAGGTCTTGGGTGTACTCCCTGGATTCAGTCACCAGAATGGAAAAAAAAAAAAAAAATGGAAAGAAAGAAGGAAAGAAAGGAAAAAAATTTACAGGAAAAAAAAAAAAAAAAAGATGAGGTAATGAAAATACTTCCACACCTGTTAGGCTGGTCTGCAGGGAAGTAAGTATATTTCTTGAACTCACAGTGGGCACTGGATCCTCATGGGAGCTTGCCATTTCTCTTCCAGATTTTATGGACCTTCTCCATCTACCTTGAGTCAGTGGCCATCCTTCCACAGCTTTTCATGATCAGCAAGACTGGGGAGGCTGAGACCATCACCACCCATTACCTGTTCTTCCTGGGTCTCTACCGTGCTTTGTATCTTATAAACTGGATCTGGCGCTTCTACTTCGAGGGCTTCTTTGACCTCATTGCTGTGGTGGCTGGGGTGGTCCAAACCATCCTATACTGTGACTTCTTCTACTTGTACATTACAAAAGGTACATCAGGGCTGGTCTGCCTGGTTCCTGTAGTCCTGGGCTCTGTGAGGAGCTTGCTTGCCCAGCTCCTCTGCCCAATATCCTGCTCATCGGTCCCACAGAGCAGAACTGGCTTCAGAAAAATAACTTTATGCTGTCAAATAAAATTCCATATTAGAATTTTCAGTCTTGTTTCATATAAAGATACTTTTTGTTTCCCTAAAATGGTGCATTTCATTGTATAGGTTTCAATCAGATCTAATTATTTCAGTCAGTCATCTGAGATCCTGTCACTCAGAGATAACCACTGTTAATGTACTAGTCCTCTGTGAATACAGCTACACAATTTAAACTATATGTGATTTTCTGTAATCAGTTTTGTTTCCCATGCAGTTTTTCATGTCAATAAATAGACACTAGCTGAACATAGTGGCAGAGGCCTATAATCTCGGCACTATGGGAGGCTGAAACAAGAGGATTGTGAGTTCAGTCCCAGCCTACGCAATTTAACAAGACATTGTTCAAAATAAAAGATTAAAAAAAAGAAGCTGGCTATGTAGCTCAGTAGGAAGGCCCTAGGTTCAATCCCTAGTAATAGGAAATAAAATTTTAAAAAGCCAACAGGTCTTTCATTATGTATTGTCCATACTACCATTGCCTTGCCTAGCCCCAGTTGGTAGGAATTCAAGGTTACTAAATTGCCTCTGTTAAAATCCAGTGTTTATCAAGTGTGGCTTATGCTTGTGATTCTAGCACTCAAGAGGCTGAGGCAGAAGGATCACTGCTAGTTTGAGGCCAGCCTGAACAATGTAACAAAACCCTGTCTCAAAAAGAAAAAAAATTCAGTGCTTAATATCTGTATATGTATATGTGTGTGTGTATATATATATATATATATATATATATTAGATTTGTATAAACATGACATGTAGACTTTATAAATATCCTATGAAAAAATTATAGTCTTTGCTAAGAAAAAAATCCAAATATAGTCCATGCACATAAACTCAGGTGCACAGGTAGAGAGAATTCAGAAGCATCTGAAGCCTAACTAGAGAACCACAGCTACGAATCTGTGATATGCAGTTACACTCCTAATGCTGGACTTGCTTGGTATAAGGACATGCATATCTTACATGTTTTTTAAACATCTAGGAAACTCCTTCGTAAGTCACTTAATATATATTGTTTAGGGAAAAATTATAACAATGAGGGTGTTAGGAATTCGGTGAACCACATCCACATTGCTTGAGCTATATTGTCAGCCCCCCCCCCTTTAATTCTGAAACAATGTCTCACTAAGTTGCCCCTACTAGACTTAAAGTTATGATCCACCTGTTTCTCCCTCAGGCCGTGCTGGGAATCACAGGTGTGGGCCACCACGCCCAGCATCAGATTTGCATTTTTTAAATGGAGATGCTTATTCATATTTTACTGGGTAGTTTTGTGTATGCCAGAGTTCTGAGAACAGAGAAACAAGCTGTAAACTTGTCAACATTACTAATCTTTTGTTTTTCTTTTTAAAATTTCAGTACTCAAGGGAAAGAAGCTCAGTTTGCCAGCATAAGTGCCAAAGACCATCAGCAGCCTCTGTCCTTCAGGGTGCTCGGACAGAATTCTTAACACAGCAAAGGCATGAGATGCTCGATGCGGAAAATCAGAAACTTAACTCTTTTGTTGCAGATTGTCATCAGTGGCTCTAACAAGAACAAGGAGGAAAAGAACCACAAGGTTTCTGTTTAATGCATCTTGCCTTATCTTTTTTTATTACTATGTACAAAGATTTTTTTACACAAAGAAACTAAATGCTGTATTAAAAAAATTCAGTGTGTAGCTTAATTGGAATAGTTCCAAAAGTGACAATTTTGTGAGGAATAAGTAAGTGCAAACTTTTTATTTTAAAAATTCTTTGAAATTGTTGATTCTTTGTGTCTGCAATGAGATTGTATTCCTCGACAGTTGGTAGATTATATATTCTAACATCTATCAAACTTGCATTCCACTATATTTATTTTTTTGCCAAAATATGAGTTGTATTTGTTTGATATCTGAGACACTATGTTTAATTTTTATCTGTCCAAATTCCACCTGCCGTGGAAATCCTGCCCTGGACATCACAACACTACATTTAAGGTTAGTGAAGATGACTTGTAAATCTTACGGTTTTTGTTATCAAAATTTTAAGGTTCTGAGTGTAGATGGGGTGTCAACTAAGTCCCCAAAGGTGCCTACCTTTCTTCTCTGCTAAGTGTCGGTTTGAGACTGTCCCAACGATGCTGAAGAACTCCTGGACAGGAGTTTTGGGCTGCTTGCCATGTAAGTGTCTAACAGGAGGGACTTTAATGGTTATTTTGGATAGAAGGCTGCTCCTTTGAGGAATGGAACACAAATAGTCATCTGTGACGTTCCACTTGCAGTTCCAAAAGATGAACTACAACCATGTCTGTGCTTAGATTCACACGGTTTTCTCTATCACTTTTGGGTGGTAAGATGATTTACAATTTTTTTTTTTAAGTTGGCAGCATCTTATTTCTTACATTTTTTTAAATTGAGCTCTTGAGTGATTTATCTTGTGTTACCATCCTAAATAAACATATGAAATAAATTCTTTTTTTTATGAATTAGGCTTCTGAACATCCTGTGTTGGGATGATTTTTGTTTTGTTTTTCATTTGGCAACAAAAGCTCTGTAGAGCAAAAGACATTTCAGTCTACTAAATCTGTAAAGTTTGTCTTTTAAGAAAATACTAGAGCTTTTCATTCTGATTTTGCCATTATATTCATTTGCTACATTTTTTGATTTATGCAAAAGTATATGACTTTGTTTTTATGTGATTCACCACAAACATGAAAGTGTTGAATGCTAACAGTACTTACTACAAGGAGGATGTAGTAGTTCTGTTCCTGCATTAAAATGCACTAGTGAAGAGCCAGGGATATAGCTCAGCAGCACAGTGCCTGCCTGGCAAGCATGAGGCCCTGAGTTCAACTCCGGTACCTAAATAAATAAATAAATAAATAAAATGTCTTGTGAAGCAGGGGAACTGGATGAGCTACATTTCTATTTAGTGTGAGTCTTAATTCTTAATTGGCAGTGCAACTATGTAGTTTAACTTCTTTTATTGCCCTCATTTTATTTTTCCCCTCTTGCTTCACGCTTTTCTGTATCAGTACTTTTCATTCCAGCATGCTAGGCTTGGTTTAGTTTCTTCAGCTTGTTTCATCTTCCTTGGACAGTTCTAGAAGTTTAAAGGAAGGGTGAGGAAATCAGTTGTAGTAAATGGAGCAGAAAAGTCAGGCAGGCTGCCTGCTGCCCGCCTAGGGGCAGAGTGAGTGGGGTGGGGGTGGGACTCACACCTGTCTTTCCTCACGTAAATCAGGTACATGCTGGGGTCCCTCACTGCAGAGCACAATGCACAGAACAAGAATGTGGAGTCTTGGCATGTCAAAGCCTTCTGCAGTCATTCTAGACAAGTAAGGATAAAATTGGCAAAGATGTTAATCACCTTTTTGTGGTCAGCCAGGACAAAATCTTGCTAAGGGAAGATACCTGACTCAGAGTTGGGACTGGGCAGCGTCCTCACGCATAGGAAACAAAGGCCTTCTCTTGTGTGACATGCCTTATGAAGCACTGTTTCATGGTTACTTTCACTTAATAAAGGTTATCAGGTAATTAATATTTTCATTAAGGTGTTTTTGCGTGAGTTTGTATATGTGTGTGTGTGGTGCTGGGCATTGAACCCAGGGTCTTGTGCATTGTAGGCAAGTTTTCTACCAGTATGCTATATCCCCAGCCTGTGTGAGTGAATTTCTAAAATGAATTTCTAATTGTTGAAGCTGAGTGTGGGTGGTATGCCTGTAATCCCAGCACTCTGGGAGACTGATAGGTGTGAGCACAGGCTAGGCAACTCAGCAATGTAGTGATATCCTGTCTCTAAATAAAGAAAAGGGCTGGAACTGGAGCTCAGTAGGACCACCCTGGGGTCAAACCCTAGTACTGCAAAATAAATAAATAAATAAATAAATAAATAAATAGTCCACCTGCCTGTGATAACTGAATGAAAGCTGCTGACCTTTACAGACACTGATCCATTCTTGTCTGGCTCAGTCACGATGTAAGTCAAGTTTTCTGTTGTCAAGAGGAGCAAACACAGCAAGAAATCAGAGTGCTGTAGGATAGGAACCCTAAGAAAAGCATGCAAGCTGTGGCCTCTGACTGGTATTGAGTCTTGCTGCTGCACTTACAGCTGCCTGGCTTTGGGTTTGATAGGTGCTTTGTGCCCCTCAATGATACAAAGAAACTCCATCTGTAGGTATTTGAGACTTAAATGAGCTCCTGTTAATGAAGCTCAATAACCCAGAGCACAGCACATACTAATTACCACCAGCACCCACTTTTCCTTTCTGAGTGCATGAGCACTGTTGTGTACCACTGAGCCACTGTGCCCCTTCCTGTTCTCGACAGCTACCTGGAAAGCTGGCAGTGAATTAGTAGTAATAGGTGGGATTAATAGTATTAATCTCTGAGGTTTGAGGAATGATTGGGGCACCTTTGGGTTTTTCCTCTGTGTACTTTCTCCCTCTAGTGGCCAGATGTAGCATTTTCATGGAACACAAGCTCCACTTAGTATTTGTGTTCCCTTGTAGTGTGGCATCTCGTGTAGGCTCTTACATGTTTCTCCTCCACATTTAAAACAACTCCTGCTTTTCAATCTGAAATTTAAAAAACAAGTTACAAGCATAACAGTGGTAATCCTTGTAAATAGTGACACAAAAATAGTTCTTTACTGAAACAGAAACAATACGCCAGATCTGTCCTGCTTTTACCTAGAGTACTTAAAAGGTGTGAGTCTTTAGATAAACACCACACTACATTTGATTATACTACCAAAATAGAATGAAAATACAAAACACATTTACTGCCAGACATTGTGGTACACTTCTGATTTTAGCACTCAGGCTGAAGCAAGATTGTGACTACATAGACCTGTTCAAAAAAAAAAAAAAAAACCAAAAACCTTTTTATTCATGTAATAAACTTTCTGTAGTAATGATGAGCCTATATTAACAAAACTGGGGCTGGGGATTTAGCTCAGCGACATAAGTGCCTGCCTTGCAAGCAGGCAGTTGTGAGTTCAATCCCTGGTACCAATAAAAAGGAAAAAGACAAAAAAAAAAAAAAAAAAAAAAAAGAAAAGAAAAGAAAACTGGTATATCCTGAAATTTAAAAAGTGCTTTATTTACTCCAAGGTCTGAGAACTTAAGATCTCAGAGCTTAAAAAATTCTTAGAAAAAGATCTATCCAAATTTCTCAAGAGTTCCTATGGCAGTACACTTGGGAGACTGAGGCAGGAGGATTGCCATAAGGTCAAGGCCAGCCTGAACAATCACCTGGTAAAAACTGCTCTCACCTATCCAATATAGGCAACAAAGGCAAATAGTAAGCCACAGATAGTAATTTTATCTAAGGCATAGAGAATATACTCAGATCAAAGAAAATGAAGATCTAAATGGAAAAACATAGGAAAATATGAATAATTATAAAAGTGGAAGGTTATTGTCAGTGTTTTAAAGTCAATATGAAGATACAATGAAACGCTAAGAAAGCCTGAAGAATACTTACTATAATTTGCAAATAGTAATAAACTAAAAAATCAAGCAAAGGTTACCACCAAAATTCATGTGAGAGCAAATACTATAGGATGTAATCTGTTAAGTCTGTGGTAGGTCCTTAGGTGTCAAGTACCTTGTCTGTATATGAAATATTTCCATATGGTGCACTCCCATAATCCCGGCACTCAGGAGGCTGAAGCAAGAGGATTGACGAGTTTGAGGCCAGCCTGGGTTACATAGTTGAAAGCTAGTTTGAACTACATAGTAAGACTTTGTCTCAAAAAAGCAAAAAGTTACAATGAGTTATTTACCTTCTCAAGAACTATACTTTGATCTGTTTTGGAAATCATATTTTTAGTTATTTTAAAGAAAAGCAAAATTTCAACACAACAATTAGGAGATAATAGTATATACATTGTGTATTGTTACCTTCAGATAGTTACTCACAGTACAAGACACCTGCACTTAATGATCTAAAGAATACAAACCTTTCTCTTCAGCTCGCTCAAAGAAGTCAGTATAACTATCCTATCTTTTATATATATATTTTTTTCTTTTAGCTTCTCACACTAGTGAGATAATACAATGTTTACACATGTGTCATTTCACTAATGAGCAGAGTCTCAAGTTGCATCCATTTACCTATACAAGTTTCCAGTTTATCCTTCTTTATGGCTGAGTAGTACTGCATTGTATAAAAATACCACATCTTTTTATCCATTCCTCAGTCAGTGGGCATTTAGGTTGTTTCCAGGATCTGGCTCTTACAAATTATGCTGCTATATACACAAGTGCACATAATATCTCTGTAGTGTGATGTTTTTAATTCTTCTGGAAAGATACCAGAAGGGGAATAGTTTGGTCAAATGGGACCTCCAGTTCTTGTTTTTTGAGGAATCTCTACACTAATTTTGGAAATCATTTTTTAAAATATTCTAAAATAGCTAAAATATTTTAATAAAACTATAAGGGAACAAATATGTTTAGTATGTAGTACTCACAGGATGAAAATATATTGTTTTAAAGAAGGTCTAGTACAATCAATGGGATGATGTTTTATGAAAATGGCAGAATACAGTGACAGTAATTAGAACTATACTACATACTTTTTAATTTTATTAAGTAATGGTAGTGGGTTTTTTTGTTTTTGTTTTTGTTTTTGAGATGGGGTCTTGTGATTTAGTTTAGGCTGTCTTCAAACTCCCAGGGATCGTGCTGCTTCTCAGCCTGCTAAAGCTCACAGGCACGCACCACCACACTTGTTTTTTTTCCTCCTCTTTCTTAAAATTCTCAAAATTTCTTCTTTGGCAGATAATTAAGTGCTATAGTGTGTTGTCTCCTAAACTTGTATCCACACAAGGGAGAACTTGATGCAAACTTCAGAATTTTTTTGTTTTTTTGAGACAGGGTATTGCTGTGTAAATTCAGGCTGGCTTTGAGCTCACTTTGTAGCCCAGCCTGGTCTCAAACTTGCAACGATCCTCCTGTCTCAGCCTCCCAAGTACTGGGATTACAGGCATGTGCCACCATTCCTGGCTCAGAAATAGAATTTTAAGGGGCTGGGGATTTAGCTCAGTGGCATAAGCGCCTGCCTTGCAAGCAGGCAGTCGTGAGTTCAATCCCTGGTACCAATAAAAAGGAAAAAGACCAAAAAAAAAAAAAAAAAAAAAAAAAAAAGAAATGGAATTTTAAGAGAAACCTGAATAACAGAGAAAAAGGACATGTTTTTTGTTGTTTTCTTTTTAAAATTCAATTTTCATTTGGATCTCATTAAGGAAAATACAAAATACTTCAGCTAAAATGCTGAGGAGAGTGCTGGGATTATAGGGTTATGTCACCATACCCTACTTCCTCTTTTTTTTTGAGACAGTCTTGCTATATAGTTCAGACTGGTTTTGAATTAAACCCAGGCTGGTCTTGAACTTGCAGCAATCATCCTGCTTCAGCCTCCAGAGTGCTGGGACTACAGGTGTGTGCCACTTTAAAATCACTGTTAGTTAGGCTTAACTAAGATGTAGTACCTTTCCAAAATCACACTGACTCCAAATTTCACTCAAATTTCAAGTGCCAGCTCAAGTCTCCAGAGCCAGATTTTAAGGTTGGTCCAGTTGAATTTCTAACTTCTTGGTGTCCAGCTCAACCTTGACAAACTTGGCAGAAGCCCAGTTGTATGTTTGTGTGTGTCCATGTACACACTGTGCTAAGAATTGAAACGGGAATGCAAAGCTACATCTCCAGCTTTTTTGTAGATCTCAACAGAGTTGCTCAGGCTGGACTTGAACTTTAGGTCCTCCTGCCTCAGCCTTTGAAGTAGCTGAGATTAAGGGTGTATACCTATAATGGATATTAATTAGCTAGAAGTCCAATTAATACTCTGGTTGATGGACAATCAGAACATATCGGGCCAGGATACTACACGGTAGGTTACTGATGACAAGACATTTGGAGAGGCTTATGTGTAGAGGGGCCCTAGTTTTCAAAAGGCAGTAAAGGGCTTGATGACGAGGCTGAAGTTGGGTACAGATGAAGTTTAATGTGGAAGAATGCACTTCTGTATATGCAACAAACATGCAAGGCATCTCACCAGATGGGAAGTGTCGTCTATTTCCAGTTTGCAACACATCTGATGGAATACCCTTGCCTAGGAATGTGTAACAGATCTTGCAATTTTTACATTTTGTGGGCTGCTCTGGTACTTCCCTGTTCTCCATCTTGAACCCTATCATTTACACTTCGTGACTTCCATCCAGTTCTTGGTCTTGAGTCCCTCCACCTACTTTTGACATTTGTTTAATAAGGCTATTCATTCATCAAATACGGAGCAAGTGCCTAGAATATGTGGCATCACCATGCACTGAAGTGAATAAGGAGACGACAAAGTGTAACTTACACATATAAAGAAAACTAAAGCCTTGTAAGGAGCAGGGACCTGGGTGTGTGTGTTTTCATTAAGGCGGTCAGGGAAAGCTTCTGAGGTAGGGACATAAACTAAGGCCCTGAACGTCCCTGGAAGAGGAGGCAGGGGTGTAAAAGTCCTAGAGTGGGAAGGAGCTTGGTGTATTGGGGAAGGGGATGACAGGCACTGGAGTGGAGGGAGAGTAGTGACTCTAACCTTTGGAGACAGATAAACTCAAATACAAGCTTCTAATGTGTGACTTGTCAGAGAAGACGGTCTGGAAGATCAGGCCTGCAAGGTCCTAGGCAGGGTGGAGACCAGGTTAGGCAAGATTTGAAAGAGGAGGGAAGGAGGTGCAGAGTAGTGGTCCTAAGAGACCACCTCCTGGGATGAAAACGGACAACTATGCAGCCAAGCTCCTGGGGAAACTGTCCCTGGCTATGTAAAGAAGAGTTGTGAGCTACTGTCATTGGTGCATATCAGACTTGGAAAGCTCCGTGTGAATTTCCTGCCCCCTTGATCACAACTCCCCTTAATCATTTCCTTGGTTCTGTAATCTTGCTTCGAATTGATTTCCTATGAAAAACTGCCTCGTAGGACAGAAACAAATATGAAAGTGAAAATGGGGTCTTGTTTTCGTCTCAGGACAGTAATTCCCTGTAGAGACAGAATGACAGTAATTCCCTATAGAGATGCAGGCAAAATTAGCTGCCCTTTGTTCCTAAAACTCCGCGTCTTGTCGCTTCTATCGGGGACCTCTTGCAGTTTTCTGTTTCCCTCTGACCCTCTCTGGTCAAGGGTAGGTTGCAGTTTCAGACCCCTAACTCGGAGAAGCCCAATGTGAGAATTCTATAACGGAGACCACAGATCGCTGGAACGTGGTCCCATGCTTGGAAGACTAACCCAGTGTAAATTCCAGACCAACCGTTAGTAGCTTAGAGTCCTTATCTAGAAAATGGAACTATTCCAGAGCCGAGTTCACAGAGCAACAGACAGGTAATAAAGCAGGCCAGCTGGTTCCAGGGTCAGCCCGTCTGCGCAGGCGCACAGGACGCCGGCGGCGGCAGCGGCGGCGGCCGGGCGGCTATTCGCGTGGACAGGCCGCGGCTTAGAATGAGCATGCGCGCGGCTCCGCCCTCACATGCGCCTGCGCAGGGTCGAGGGTTAATTCGACCGCGGAGTCCGGGGGCTCCAAGGTATGAGTGGCGAGTGGCGCGCAGGTTGAGTGAAGTCGCGAGGCGAGCGCTGCGCCATGCCGGGGATGGTGCTCTTTGGCCGGCGCTGGGCCATTGCAAGTGATGACTTAGTCTTTCCAGGATTTTTCGAGCTGTTCCTGAGAGTGCTGTGGTAAGAGTCGGGGGTCTGGATGGCGCCTAGGAGGGACAGGGGAGGGTTGCTGCCTGCTGAGACAATGGTAAAAGTCGCTAATCTCCGAGCTCCGCTGCAGGCCTGGAGCTTGCCAGGATTCTCTTGTTTAGTGCTCACCACCGCCCGAGGTTAGGTGCTATTGCTGACCTCATTTTACGAATGGTAAGCTGAGGCCCAAAGAGGGGAGGCAGTGCCTGGGGTCACTCGGGTGGCCGTGACGTCCACGCTGCTGGGCACAACCTCCTCGCGGACTGTGGCGCTGAGACCTGGCAGCGAGAGGCGAGAACGTCATTACAGACCAAAACCCATCGCCTCGAGCTCGCCTTCCTCGGGTCGTGTTCAGCCACATGTGTCAGTCTTCAGTGTTGAACTCTGCGTGAAAAAGTAAAGCACCTGCATCTGCAGAAGTCGGGAAATGCCTGTAAACCTTAGTACTGGGTGAGGCTGAGGCAGGAAGATTGAAAACTCGAACCCAGTCTGAATAATTTAGCGAGACCCTGTTTCAAAAATAAATAAATGAGCCAGGTGTGGTGGCACACTCTTGTAAACCCAGCACTTGGGAGGCTGAGACAGGAATATGGTTGGGAGTTCGAGACCAGCCTGTGCCACAAAGTGAGCTCAAAGTCTGCCCGAACTGCATAGAAACCCTGTCTCAAAAGATAAAAATAAATAAGTAAATAAATGGCTGGATATGTAGTTCAGTGTGAAGGCGCTTCCACACAAGCGATTGTCTTTCAAAATATGGAATTTTTAAAAAAAGGTGGGAGGTAATACCCTTACTGAGAATCATGTTTGAAGCCAGTTCCCTGGGGGCCTGGACAAAGAATAATATCCTTGGTGTGCAGAAGTACATTCTGAGGGGAAAAGAATGTAAAAACAATGTTTTGACCTGTTTTCCAGCAATTTTCTCTAAGAAAAGGGCCATGTTTTTAGAGTTCATTTCCCCATCATTTTTAGATTCAGAATCCAGATATTACAAAATCAACCAAAATATTTTTTAAAAAAAAATTTCCCTTTCCCTCTGGTGTTGGGACTTAAGGTCTATTCCTCACACAAGTGCTATACTACTGAGCAGAACTCCCCATCTGCCAGGGCTTAAGCGTTTGGGCTTGAATCCTTAATAAGCCATCCTTTCCTCTGTTGAGATACCTCAAAGGAAGAACCAGATAGTTTTTCACTCAGTGTTAGGAGCTGTGTTTCATTGTTCTGCATTGAATTTCAAAATGCAGTTTGAAAGCCACAGGACTTCTTTGAAGTGTATCAGTGCTCACCTTGGAGCATCTGCATCATTTCATTCTCTCCCTTTTAGTTTTCAATTACAAATAACAGATTACAGTGTGAGTTTATTCATTTCTTTTAATCTACAAATGTAAACATTTTCTAGTTAGTTGAATGTTTCTGAGATGTAATGAGCTATTTTGTAGCAACTCGCATTATATTGGCTTGTTTGTGTCTTTAGCTGGATTATAATAGGCATAGAAAAAGAATGATAGTATGGAAAGTGTAAAACTCATTAAAAGAAAAGAGAGCGCCATACTCTTTAGTTGACTTGGTATATTTTTTATTGATAAAAATTATATTCAACAAAAAAAAATTAAAAAAAATTATATTCAAGCCAATAAGGTGATGTTTACCTGTTATCTCAACACTTTGGGAGACTGAGGCAGAGAACTGCAGGGTTAAGCCCAGCCTGGGCAATTTAGCAAAACAGTATCTCAAAATAAAAAATTTTTAAAAACAGCTGAGATGTAGCTTAGTGCTAAGGCCCTGGGTTTAATTCCTAGTACCATAAAAGAAAAAAAAATACATATTTGCACTTTGGATTCTCTCCCCCCACCCATTGCTGAGGATGAAAACCAGGGCCTCATGCATGCTAGGCAAATGCTCTACCACTGTGCTGCCCTCCAACCCCTGGACTTCATTCCTGACCCTCGCTGTCTCTCCACAGGTGGATTGGCATTCTGACTTTGTATGTCATGCACAGAGGGAAGTTGGATTGTGCCGGTGGAGTCCTGCTCAGCAGTTACTTGATCGTTCTCATTGTGCTGCTGGCAGTTGTTATATGTACTGTGTTAGCCATCGTGTGTGTCAGCATGAAAGGTAAACACACAGCAACCTTTTTTAAATTTGATATCTTTTTAAAAATATTTTCACAGCCTTGAGATAAAATTTGCATGCTATACGATGTACCCATTTAAAATGTATGATTCAGTGGTTCTGAATGTATTATTCATAGTTATGCACCTATTACCACAATCAGCTTTAGAACATTTGCATTGCAGTTATGGCTTAAATATGAAGTGTCCCCCAAAGATTCATGTATTGATGACTTCACGCACAGTGTAGCAGTATTCGGTGGGCAGGGCCTAGAAAGACGTGGTGGGTTGTGAACACACTTAACCTCATTAATGGACTGATCCATTGGCGACTCAGAGCTGAATGGGACATTAGGAAGTAGCGCCCAGAAAGTAGGTCCCTGGAGGTGGGTACTTGTAAGCCCCTTCTCTGACTGTTCCCTTCTCTGTCTTACTCTCTTGGTCTCTTTGTGCTTCCTGGCTGCCTTGAGGTGAACTGCTTTGCTCTGTCATTCTCTTCTGTTTCTGCCTCGGAGCCAACTGATCATGGACTTAAACCTCTCAAATCAGGAGCTAAAGTAAACCTCTCATTTAAGTTGTAGGTGTCAGGTGTTTTGGTCTACCAGTGGAAAGCGACCAGTACAGTCACCCCAAAAGAAATCCTAGCGGCTCTCATTTTCTGCCCTTCCACATTTTCCCAGCCCTAGACATCCACTTGTCTGCTTTCAGTCTCTATAGATTTATTCTGAATATGATATATGTGGAATTATCCATTCTGTGGCCCTTTGGTCAGGCTTCTTAAGCTTAGTGTAATATTTTCAAGATTCACGAATGCCATATAAGTATCAGAATATACTTTAGTGATTTCTGTGTGTGTGTGTGTGTGTGTGTGTGTGTGTCCGTGCGCACACACATGGTGTGTGGTACTGGTGATCAAATCCAGGGCCTTCTCTATGCAAGACAAGATCTGTACCACTGAGCTACATCCTCAGCCCTTTTGGCTTCTTATGACTAAACAAGATTACATTGTTTGGGCACATTTTACTTATCTGTGTATAATTTGATGAACATTTGGGTTGTTGGCTATTACTTATAATGCTGCTGAGAACATTTGCATTTGGTTTTTGTGTAGGCCTAGGTCTTCATTTGTCTTGAGTGTTTACCTGAGAGTGGAATTGCCAGGTCACATGGTAACTGTATTTAACCTCTTAAGGAGCTGCCAGACTTTTCCAAGAAGTTGTATCAATTTACATTCTTACTAGCAGTGTATAAGGGTTCTAATTTCTCACAGTTCTTACCAACCCAGTACTATCTGAATTTCTGCTTGTAGCCATCCTGGTGAGTATGAAATAGTTTTCATCTGCATTTCCTTGATAACTAGTGAGTGTGTCTATGCTTTTGTGTGCTTATTGGCCTTTTTAGTATCATTTTTTGAAAAAATGCCAACTTCGCCAAACTTTTAATTAAACTATATTATCCTTTTATCAATGGTTTATAAGAGTTACACCTATTCTTTTTTCTTTTAATTCTTTTAATGTAGTGTAGGGGCTTGAACTTAGGGCTAGATAAGTTCTACACCATTGAGCTACCCCCAGATCTAAACTTTTTTTTTTTTTTTGGTGGTACTGGGGCTTACAGTGCAAAGCCTTTGCACTGTGCTACCTTCTGAGCCCTTTTTTTGTGTTTTGAGATAGGGTCTTGCTGAATTGCTTAGACTGGACTCAAACATGCTGTCCTCCTGCCTCAGCCTCCCAGAATGCTGGGATTACAGGTGTCTGTCTCCATACCCAGCTCCTACACCTGTTTGTTTGTTTTTTTTTTTTTTTTTTTTTTTTTTTAATCTTTTAAAACCAAACGATTTACTTTGAGTAATTGCTGAAATTCTCAAGATGAGCTGGATGTTGCACCAGCTACTCTCTTGAATTTAAGTGTTGTTCCTTCAGGGAACCCATGCCTGAATCTGCAACACACAACTTTTAGATGTCTCGTTTGCCCGGTACTGATGGTATTTCGCCTTTTAGCCTTTGTGCTACAGTTATACTTCCTCTTGTGCTTGGCAGCGTAGCTACATTTGCCCCAGGCTGACCACTGAAGGTGGTACCAGAGCCACAGCGGCAGCACAATGTGTGTCTTATGATGCTTTCCAGAGGATGACCTTCCCTTCAACGTCTCACTTGTGCCACCGAGACCAAAGAGCTACACCTGTTCTTAATGATGTTTTTTTCCTACACATTGTGGTTTTCTGCAATCAGGTCTCTCGAAATGCTAGAAACCTTATTGTGAAAGCCATCACTGCCACTCAGAGCCCCCTTATTCTGCAGCTTCCTCTGCTAGGGATGGGGCTGAACGTGGCAATGCTCATGCCCAGTGGACGTGAAAACACCATTGCTGTTTTCTCCCTGACCTCTATGAATCTGTGTCCCTCACTGTTTCTACTGTGCCACTCCCAGATGTTCAGTGCTTCATGTCCAATGTATGTGAATTGCACTTGGAACAGCAGGTCCAAGCCCCAGCCTACTAACCTGGCTGCATTGTTAGTAGAAAAACTCTGATGAAATCCAGGAGTGTGGCCTCTTATCTGTTCTCAGAAGAAATCACTTCTGGCTCTGAAGCCAGAAAAAGCAAGAGCTCGTTCACCTCCAGAACCCGTGGGAACCCAGGTGACAGGCCATACAAATGCTGAAACTGCAGAATCTAGTGATTCTTAGGGCTCCAGAGAATCTTCACAAGCTGAATGAATCCCAACCAGAATTGAGCTGGAACATTAAGCACCTGGACAACTGTTTGAAGCACCTAGTTCAGTACCAGAGCAACTAGGATCACAAATGGCTACTGAAGGACCAGCAGATTAGGCATCGCTTTTCCCTGCTTAGTGTAAGTGGACAGAACTCAAGGTTTGAAGCCAGTCTGTGGAGCGTCTCAGAACTGGAGTGAATAGAGCCGCCCAGTCCATTGGGAAACAATGCTTCGAAGAGAATACTTCCTTGTTTGCTTTGGAAGCTGTGCTGGATCATTGACTCCATAAGACTGGTTATTAGCCTTGTCTGTGTGTGTCGGAGGCTGTGATTTCCACACACTGGAACCTAGAGGAGGGCTGGGTGTGTATGGTGGTGCATACCTGTAATGCCAGTTAAAGCAGGAGGATCACCATAAGTTTCAGGCCAGCCTGAGCTATGCAGTAAGTTCAAGACCAGCCTGAACTACATGCAAGACTTTGTCTCAGAAGAACAGAAACAAAAACCCCAAAAAAGAAAAAAGCCAGGCCTTAGCATTATCTAATTTGTTTGCTCTTTTTTGTTTATGTCACATTCTGTTTGGATCACTGTGTCTGTAACTGTTAGATTCAGATTTGTAACTGAATGTAAAATTTTTTCCCCTAAAATGGTTGCTTTTCTTCATTTATTTTTGGTGGTGTCAGGGCACATTCCCATTCCCGTGAGGGGTGTTTCTGGTCATCCCAGATATTGCCACAGTGCCTGCACCAGCATATGTCGGTGCTCAGAGCCAGAGCTCAGGGTTCATCTCCAGGTCACAGGCTGCCAGTCCCACAGCCTCTTCCAAACAGAACCCCATCCCACATGTACCAAGTGTGTGTCAGAGAAGCTGACTTAGAAGCCCAGGAATGATCCTTAGTGTGGGGCACTGATTCAGGTGTGGACGTGGTACCCAGTTTGGGCCAAGAGAGTTTGCTGGAAGGTGCTGGGAACGTCCTTCCTTGTTGCTCTTGGAATGATTCAGAAGCCGCATATCACTGTCCTCCTGAATGGTGCCGTAAATCCACCCAAAGCCCAGTAGAGCAGGTATATAGGAAGCGGTGCTGTGAGAAACCTTTGCACACCCATTCCTGAGTCAGTACAAGTCCTGCCTGCTTTTCAGCCAGCTGAAGGTTGATTTTCTTTACTTGTGATTAGAGATATACAGCTGAAATGAGAACAGTGTTATATAGAAATATAGAAGGTTAATTGCCAATTAAAATTGGGTGTGGTGGCACATGCTGTATCCCAGCACTCAGGAGACTGAGGCAGGAGGATCACCATGAGTTGAAACTCAGCCTGGGCTACATAGTGAGTTCAGGACCAGCCTGAACTACACAGCAAGTCCCTGTCTCAAAAAGGAAAGAACAAAACAAAAAAAAAAAAACAAAGAAAATTGCTAATTTAAAAAGTAATTAGCATAATGTGCTTTATTAAAATCTGTATTTTAGAGCTGGGCATGATGGCATACTTACAATCCCTCCACTAGCAGAGACTGAGACAGGAGGATCAAGAGTTAGAGCCCAGTTTGGGCAACTTAGTAAGACCCTGTCTAAACACAAAGAAGGGCTGCGTTGCAGTTCGTCATTAAGGGTCTTAGCTCAATTCACAGTACTGAAAAGAAGAAAAGAAGACTGGAAAAAACTAAATACTTGTTTGTATTTTATCCATATCACCTAAAAAGTGAAAAAATGAGTGTGGATTTGGATTTGTGGCAGCCCCATCCCCTGGGCTCTCACAGTGTCCTGTGCCAGAGCAAACTGTGACCCAGAACCGTTGCCTGGCCTCTGCCTATAGGATGTCACCGCTGAAGCAGGTTGTGCAGTGGTAAACACAGAATGAAAAATTGCTTTGTGAACAGGGATGAACAGTGCCCGCCTGGCAAGTGTGAGGTCCTGAGTTCAAGCCTGGGTATGATTTCTAGTGTGCTCAGGTACAGAACATTGTAGCTTTTTTGTGTCTCCCCCCCTCCCGCTGCCAAAGGTTATATAATTTTTGTTTATGGGCAAATAAATATGTAAAAAATATTAAACATTACTGGTCACTGGGAAGATGCAAATTAAAACAACACTGAGATTCCACCTCACTCCAGAAAGAATAGCCATCATCAAGAAATCAACCTATAACAAGTGCTGATAGGACTGTGGGGGGAAAAGGAACCCTTCTCCATTGTTGCTGGGAGTGTAGACTGGTGCAGCCACTGTAGAATAGAAGTCAGTGCGCAGATTTCTCAAAAGACTAAAACTGGAGGTTCCATTTGACCCACTATTCCTCTTCTTGGTATCTTCCTGAAAGAATTAAAAGCATCATACCACAGTGATATATGCACACCTGTGTTTACAGCAACACAATTTGTAATAGCTAAATCTTGGAAACAGCCCAAATGCCCATCAACTAATGAATGAAGTTGTGTTTTTTTTAATACAATGAAGTACTACTCTGCCATAAAGAAGGATAAGCTTCAGACATGTCTAAATGGATGCACCTTGAGACGATTCTCCTAAGTGAAATACATCAGACACGTGTAAACACCACATTGTTTTTCTGAGAAACCAAACACATAAATAAGGACCAAAATGTATAATAGACACTGGGAAATGGGAAGAAAATATTCAGATGGGAAGGGAAACAGGGTGGGGGGAGGAGAAAGAAAAAAAGGAAGGGACAAGGAAAAAAAGAAAAACAAAGCTTTTGTGAGTAAGGAGAGGAAGAGGAGAGGAGGGGAATGAGAATAAAAGAAACAAGATACATCATAAGCAGGTACAAACTCCCTACGAGGAAGGTGATCATTATTTATATCTAAAATGTACCAGTAAAATAGAAATAAAATGGGAATTTAAGTGAAAAACTTTGGTTTGTTCCTGCACAGCCTTGCCTGGGAGGTTGCACAGACCCCAGATCTGCTTCTGGGGAAGTGGGCTGAAGGGTGAGGGCTGGAGGCTTGGAATGTGCTTCCTACCCACTTCACCTGTTTGACCTTTTTGTCCTGCACAGAATGGGTGATTGTTTTAAATCCTAAATTTCAGGTGTATTTTAAAATAACATACTGGTAAGTTTTATTCTTGGTACAACGATAACTTCCATTTTCCCTTTAGATTCATTAGTCAAGTCTCAGTAATTAATGTGTCATTTTGGTAGAAAGACAATGTATATTTAGCTTTTAAAAAATTTATTTATTGATTGATTGATTACAGTGCTGGGAATTGAATACAGGTCCTTTATACTGAGCTACTTTCTCAGCCCTTTTTTGAGACTTGGCCTTTTTTTTTCCTTCTTCAAAATTTCGAAACACATGAATCAGGGGGCAACAATGGTACATACATTGTGCATTTTCATCCCCAGATCATTCACCAAGAGCACAAGACATCTACATTCAATTGTCTAAACAGTACCAGCACAAATCTTTCTCTTCAGTGAACTCAGAGAAATCAGTAGTATAACTAGTTGTTTTTTATATACATATGCATATGTTGTTTTTTTCAGCTTCTCACACTAGGGAGACAATTAGTTTATTCTTCTTTATGGCTGAGTAGTATTCCAGTGCGTAAAAATATCACATCTTTTTTTATCCATTCCTCAGTCAGTGGGCATTTAGGTTGTTTCCAAGATCTACCTATTATTAATTGTGCTGCTATAAATACGAGTGCACGTGTATCGCTGTAGTGTGATGTTTTAAATTCTTCTGGGAAGATACCCAGAAGAGGAATAACTGGGTTGAATAGGACCTCTAGTCCTGGTTTTTTGAGGAATCTCCATGCTGATTTCCACAGTGGTTATACCAGTCTGCATTACCACCAACAGTGGAGAAGAGTTCCTTTATCCTCACAGCCCCTCCAGCATTTGTTATTGCTTGATCTCTTTTTCTTTTTCTTGATTTCTTGAAAATAGCCACTCTTTCTGGGGCAAGCTGGAATCTCAGTGTTGTTTTGACTTGCATCTTTCGAATGACCAGTGATGTTGAACATTTTTTCAAATATTTATTTGCCGTTTGTATTTGTTCATCTGAGAAGTGTGTATTCATCTCAGATGCCCATTTTTGGATTGGGCCTTTAAATCTGGGAAGACTGATTTTTTTTTTTTAATTCTGTATATATTCTCGGTAGTAATCCTTTGTCTGAGGTACAGCTGGCAAACATTTTCTCCCACATGGTGGGTTGTCTTCATTCTGTTGGTGGTTTCTCTTGCTGTGCAAAAACTTCAAGAGCACTCTCAACAATTCCCAGTTGTTGATTCTTGTGATAGTCCTGTGCAGGTGGGGGTTTGTTCATAAAGTCTTTGTGTGGACCAGTGTGAGACCTAGTCTTGCTAAGTTACCCAGGCTGAGCTCAAATTTGTGATTCTTGTGCCTCTGCCTCCCAGAGTGCTGGTATTACAGGCTTGCTGCCATGCCTGCTGGATTGATTTATTTGTTTGTTTGTTTGAGGGGGATTGATCTTTTAAACTATTACTTTATTCCATGGATAGAGAGTAGGCATGGTTTCTGTTAATTATCTAATAAAATTTATGCCCAAAAATAAGGCCAGATGATGCCTCATGTTTTAAGATGTGTCTCTGTTAGTAATTCCAATAGAGAGCATGTTTTTAAAACTTAAAGGCTGTGACATTCATTAGATCTTAGGTATTTTCAGTAATTGTTTTTGTTTTAATCATTGGGCATTTTTTCTGTTACTTAGATTAGTGTTTATCTTAGCTTTTTTCCTGAAGGGAAATAAAGTGTTTTATGCCAAGAATTAAAGCACCTAGGCTTCTACTGATGCTTGGATTGTTTTACAAATCCTGTAAAAATGTCACTGCACACGAGCCATGAGAGGAGGCCGCTGCTGTAGCCGTCACCCGTTCGCTGTGGAGCTGGAGGAGGCGTGGAGAGGCCTGGAGGACACAGCACGGTCCTCAGGATGGTGATGAAACAGGACAAGATGATGTTCAGCAGTTCTGCGGTAATCTGACAGTTGATCCAGCAGGCATCAGTGTTTTGATCCTTGCTTGGAAGAGAGCAGCAACCCAGTGTGAGTTCTCCTAGCAGGAATTCATGGACAGTGTGAGAGAATTAGGATCCAGAAACGGCTGTTACCTACTGAAACTTAGTACTTATGGAAGACTTAAAGTCTTAGACTAATGGAATAGATTTTCATCGGGACATCATAAAGGATCAGTACCAAAAGATACTTGGAATCTTCTTTTAGACTTGAGTACAGTGATTGCAGATGACATGTCTAATGATGACAAACAAGGACCGTGGCCTGTTCTCATTGATGACTTTGTGGAACTTGCATGTCCTCCAGTTGCTAGGACAAAATGTACAACAGCACAGCACTAAAAGAACACTTTAGAATGTACATAGTCCGTGCAATAAATACAATGGAAAATTCCTCAATTTCTGCTGGGTAGACTGAACTGAAGATCGACCCTCACTATTCAAACAGTGTTGAGAAAAGAATACATCTTGAACTGTATTTATTTCATTCTTCTTGGGCTTGTCTTTTATTCTGGTCTACTCCAAACATTTATAATTCCAAAATTGTAGATTTCATCTGAATATCTGTGGGCCAGCCTACTTTATTCTCTCTTAAATCTTAGAAGCTTTATGGTGATGATTCTAAAGTTTCCATTTTACATAAAGCCAGAATGCTGTCTTTTTTTAGAAAACATTTTTAAACATAATGAACATTGCAAACAGTGTGTAAAAACTTCTTAAATATGCTTTGGGCAAGTTGCAAAGACTATGCAACTGATAACCATTTCCATTGAGAGTGATATATTTAAGTGTAGCAAATCTGGAATTGTGTTTTGGTTTGGGACAATTTATTTTCCTAGAATATTACTTGTTTTGCTATAGGTAGATCTGATAAATGTCAGAACAAACATTGTGGAAATTTTTAGGATAACTTTGTGGCTACTTGAAAAATATGTTGTGCGTTAGACTGTCAGTTTCAAAAAGATCCCACAGAATTAGTCTATATTTCCTTTACCCTTATTTATATGTAATGGTCCTACCTAGAGCTTTTATTTAGCAAATGTCTGTGTTATGTTAGATTCTACTCTTGACTACATATGTACCATATAACTGGATATCATTGTGCTTTTGAAAGCATGCCTATAATTCTAGCATTCAAGAGCCAAGCAGGAAGATTGCTGAGAGTTTGAGGCCGGCCTGAGCTGCATAGCAAGAATCTGTCTCAAAAAGGAAAAATAAAAAAAGGAAATGCTTATATTCCTATCAAATAAGTTACACTATTTAATTTGTTTTAAATTTTTATACAATACAGTATTCTAAATTTTTCTCTTTTTTTTTGGTACTGGGGATTGAACTTACAACCTCGTGCTTGCCAGGCAGGAGCTTACACCACTGAGCTAAATCCTAGGCTCTAAATTATTCTAAATTTTTAAAAAATGTCTTTTATCTTCTTCAAGTGGTCTCACTATTAGAATTGTTCATTTCCAGGCTGGGGATATAGCTCAGTGGTAGACTATATGCTTAGGCCATAGATTCAGTCTCCAGAATCAAAACAAAAATTTTTTTAAAAAATTTCTATAAGGTGCGGACCATAGAACAAAGAGCTTGAGTTATGCAGACTTGGATTATATTTTAGAATGTGCCTGTTAATCTCTCTGAGACTCATTTCCTCTTGGATGGGCATGTGTATGCACAGTACTTATGTTTAAGCCCAGGGCCTTCACTCTGAGCTACATCTCTGGCCCTTTTTTATTTTTAATTCTAATTTTTAAAAATTTTTAAATTTTTGATCCTTTTGAGACAAGAGTTTCATTATGCTGTTCAGGCTGGCCTTGAGCTCACTTTGTAGCCCAGGCTGGCCTTGAGCAATCCTCCTGCCTCAGCCTCCTGAGTGCTGAGATTACAGGCATGCACCTCCACGCCTGGCCTTCCTTTTTTATTTTTGAGACAGGGTCTTGCTAAATCATAGCCACCTAGGGTAGGCATGAACTTGTGTGATTCTTCTGCCTCAGCCTTCCAGTGTGCTGGGATTATAGACATTGTTTGTCTGTTTACTATCCTCCTTTCCCCCAGCTTCAGTTCCTCATTTATAAAATGGGATGGTGACTAACCCAGCATTCAGTATTTAGGTCCTTATGTGGTCTCAGAAGTGACCCCGTCTGGACAGTGATTGTGAGGTCATCTAGCCAGAACTGAGGAGTGGTTTTCACCCTTCACGATTCTTAGAGGCTTCTGAGAATCTGAGGCTTCTGTCATGTTTTCCCTCTTTCCCTTTGACACTAGCTTTCACACTGGGGCACTGGCTACCAGGTGCAAGGAGACAAGAATCAAAGGATGGGAGAGGACCACATAAAGCGTGCACTAGCAACTGTGTTTTGTGGGAAGGGAGCCTGTATCTCTGAGGCGGGGAGTAGTGAGCCACTGATTATTTTCTGTGTTTCAGGAACCATTTGTAACCCTGGACCCCGGAAGTCTATGTCTAAGCTGCTTTACATCCGTCTAGCGCTCTTTCTGCCAGAGATGGTCTGGGCATCGCTGGGGGCCGCCTGGGTAGCAGATGGTGTCCAGTGTGACAGAACAGTTGTGAGCGGCATCATTGCAACCGTCGTTGTCAGGTGAGGCCGTCTCTTCCAGTGTCTTCTCATCACACATGCACTTGAAATGTGGGTGGACTCACAGCTCTGAGGGAATGCGACAGAGAGCCTCCTTACAGAGCTAGATTTGGACCTCACTGACTCACTTATGACATTCAGACACATCTGTTCGGGCATAAATAAGTCGTCTTCCATTATCCATCCGTGGATGTTTTTTCTTCCTTTCTGGGTTCTCAATTTCTTGCATTCTCTTTCTTCTCCTAAGAAGGAAGAAAACTAAAGACTAAAGTAAGGGCAAAGCAGAAGAAAAGATAAGTGGAGCGTCAGGACAAGTAGTAGTGCTCTAGTGAGGCTTCAAGGAGGATTTTACGTCTTCTGGGCTCAAAATCTTAGAGATACAGTTCCGTCTCTTAGAGTTACGAATAAGGAAACAGGCCCGTGTTGTAGCCACCCGGTGGGTAGCAGAGTTGCCTCATGAAGGTGTCTTCTTAGCAGCATAGTATCCAGGAACTCACAGGCTTTGTGCATGTGGACCAATCTAGAAATATGAATGAAAGACCTATCAGAGTGTCCCGCAGTCCATGCATTCTTATAGTTTTACCGGAAGAACCCTGAGGCATGGTGGGAGAAGGGCCTGGCTCAGAGTCAGGACCTCCCACATAGCGCCATGTTTCCTTTGTGACCCTTATTTTTTGTAGGGCCTGGGTTGACTATAAAGAAGTTTCTAGAAGCCACAGTTTGCTCACCTCTTCCAGATTCTGGGAGCTCTGTCTTCCTGGGTCCAAGCACCTCAGTTGAGACACAGAACTAGCCATGAAGCATGCGTCTCAGGCTGTGCGTGGGGCAGGGAAGCCCCGGTCACCAAGCCTTTCCCCTCTCTCTTGCAGTTGGATCATCATCGCTGCCACTGTTGTCACCATTATCATTGTCTTTGACCCTCTTGGGGGGAAAACAGTTCCCTATTCCTCTGCTGGTCCTGGTCACCTGGATAGTCACGAATCAAGCCAGTTACTTAATGGCCTCAAGACAGCAGCTACAAGCGTGTGGGAAACAAGAATCAAGTTGTTGTGCTGTTGCGTGGGAAAAGACGATCACACTCGAAATGCTTTTTCGAGTACGGCAGAGCTTTTCTCAACCTACTTTTCAGTAAGCTGAGGGGGTCTGATCTGGCCTCTTTCTGTTTCCGTGACTGCGTCTTATGTGGAAATGAGCACTTTCGCTGCACTTTGAGCTAATTTCCCTCATCATATAAGCGACTTTTGAGAATCTGGAACCCCTGGGTGTGGGGTTGGGGGAGGACAGTGTCCGGGATGAGCGTCATGGGGGCCAGTTAATGTCAAGGGTCATGGTTTTTCAGACCCTGTCTTGACTCTTAGATGCATCTGTTCATTAACACCTGTTCATTACACTCCCTTTTTAAAGAAACTGAATAGTGGAACCTGTACATTTGGGGACTAGCACATGTGCACACACATATACCATACGTTCTTGGTTGACACAGCCAGTACAACATAGAGGCAATGTTGTGCATCTCAGATAGCAGTTTCCTAGATAGAGATGGTAGCTTTTTCAGCCAGGAGTGCTGATGTGCTGTTGCAATCCCAGCAACCCTAGGAGGTGGTTGCAGAAGGAGTGACAGTTTGAGCCCAGCTTGTATGACTCCATGAGACCCTGTCTCAAAATTAAAAATTTTAAAAACAGCCAGGGATGTAATTCAACAGGAAGAGTTCAATCCCCATGTTAAAGGAAGGAAACCCCTGACTTAGTGGAGTGTAAAGTGTCATTATTCTAAAGCAGTTTCTTGAGCAATTTGAGAATACTTGTTTTTGTTCATATCCTCTGTGTTACTTTTGTCTTTTCATGCGGTGATCTCGGATAAACTGCTGTTATTTTCTACATTGATACCAGGCATGGGGGAATGGTTCTGACAGTCTGTATCCCTTCCTGTCAGTGTGTTGGTTCCTTGTGGTGTCTGACTTTGGAGTGTTCTGGGCCAGCCCCATTAGCTCAACGCCAGCCGTAGAATCAGCTTCCATGTTGGGATTAGAGAAGTGTATTCCCTAAATCTGAAAGGGTTGCTTTATCTTTGTTCGAGGAAAAAGAGAAGCTAGCTATTCTCAAAAAAAATTTTTTTTTCACTTCTCATTTCTTTTTTATTTTTATTTTTTTGAGACAGGGTCTTGTTATGTAGTTTAGGCTGGCCTGTGAACTCTTACGTCTCAGGCTTGTGATGCTCTATCTGCCTCAGTCTCCTAAGTGCTGGGATTATAGATATATACACTGTCATGCTCAGCTCTAAGGATTTCTTACTCTACATCATAGGCCCAATGGTTGGTATACAGTCTTTTCTTATGAGCTAGAAGTACCTTTTGGTAATAGAGGATTTCTGACAATTCCTTAAGTATCCTGAAGGAAAAGGGTAAGGTCAGGCTCCAGAACACTAAACGTGGCTTTACTATCTTGAGGTTTGAAGTGTGTGCTGTATCCAGGGACATGTTCAGCCTCATAAATCGCTAGTGTAGGCTATGTTTCAATAAACCATCATAGCACCTAGAGAATTGAGCTGAGCTGAAATTGTACATTACTAAAAATATGGATGGTTTGGTCATTTATTCTCCATTGTTACAAAAGATTTGAAATTAATTAGAAATAGTTAATTTACTTAAAGTGGAATTTTGAGATAAGGACCCACCTAGTAGATTTGTCTGAGGATAAGACATGAGAAAAAACTGAGCTCAAATATAAGAGGAAACTTGTGAGGAAAACACTTTTAAAACTGCCTTTGTATAATAAAAATTCTTAGTGTATATGAATGCTCACTTGAGAACTGTAAAAGTAAATCATAAAGCATTCCTGGGCAGGTTTCATGCCAGGCCATTACACTTTCCCATGCAGGACACAGATCTAGTGCCCAGTGACATTGCTGCAGGCCTGGCCCTTCTCCATCAGCAGCAGGACAGTATCAGCAGCAACCAGGAACTGGAAGAAGTGACCAGCCACTCTTCAGGGCACTCCCAGGTAAGCCCGGATTTCTCGTGGATTGTGCAGTTTGGATGCACTTGTGTAGATCTTCAAAAAAGACAACTCACCAAGAGGGATTTGAGTAGCACTTGGGTCAGAATCAGTTTGTGGCCTTGTGGCACATGTGTCAGGTGAGGCAGGTCAGCAGTGCCTGGAGCCCAGGTGGTGGGAGCTTATTCCCGAACCAGATCACGGTGCATTATATTTTAAAATCCTTCTGCTTTAGGAAATTCACTGCTAGGTTCTGTGCACCAGGAAAATTCCTTGGAACTTTAGCCCCCCCAGATGTATTTCCTTTTCCTCTATGGGTCTGGGGAGCTTCACTGGATGGGTAAGTTTCTGCCTATAGATTTGTATGTTTCTGAGAAAATTGCACAAAGGATGCATTTTATTTCTTTAATCTTTAAAAAAGCACAAAATTCTTGCCACATGCCTGTGTTGCAATATGGAAATGTGCTAATGCTTTTGGTAGGAAGTACAGAATCATTTTAGCAAGAGTCAGGAATCATTACAGAAGCCAGGCATGGTGGCACATGCCTGTGATCACAGCACTCTGGGAGGCAGAGGCAGGAAGATCATAAGTTTGAGCCCAATTTGGGCAACTTAATAAGAGCATGTCTCAGAATGAAAAATACAGAAGAGTTGGGGATGCACCTCAGTGCAAAAGCCCTGGGTTTAGTCCTTAGTGTTAAAAAATAACTCAATCACTAGGGTCTTGCTGTTACCTTCCTCTCACTGTATTCCTGGAAGAGTCCACTTGAGTCTGTGTTGCAGTGCCAAAAGAATGAGGAATTGGAGTTCAGGTTTAAGATTTTAGTGTGTTTATCCTCCCCAGAATGAGTTCCCCTAAATAAAAAGCTTTTTTTTTTTTTCCTTCCAGGAAGCTGAACTGGATGCAGAATTAGAAAACTGCCATCATTATATGCAGTTTGCAGCAGCTGCCTATGGGTGGCCTCTCTACATTTATAGAAACCCATTTACTGGGCTGTGCAAGATTGGTGGTGATTGGTAGGTTGCATAGTGGGAGACCTCCATGACCACATTTTGCTTTAAATAGTTCCATATAAATACATTTCAAAAGCTTACAAGAGACGTCTGACCTAAGTCCTTTATCTGTCTAAAGTCTCCAGTTCTGATTCATTTTGTCATATGTGCCGTCCTGTGATATACAAAGTATGTGCACTTTGTAAACACATTTTCCTCAAAAGGACTTGAGATTTAGTTGTAGACCCCTTGCTTCTTTATTTCTAGTTATTTCAGCCTAAATTTCTGAAGAATGATATTTTATATAACTCCAGTAAAATTGTCAAACTCAAGAACTTTATCATTAATCTTTAATTTGTTTCCATTTTTGGTGGCACTAGAGCATGAACCCAGGGGCATCCTACCACTGAACTACATCCCCAGTCCTTTTCATTGTTGGTTTTTTTTTTGTTTGTTTGTTTGTTTTTTTAATTTTTTGAGACAGATCTCACTAAGTTGCCCAGGTAAGACTTGAATATGTGATCCTCCTGCCTCAGCCTCCTGAACTGCTGGGATTACAGGTGTGGACCCTTGAGCCCAGCACCTTCAACTAATTAGTAATTTCTGTTCAGCTTTTTCCGATTGCTCCAGTAATATCCTTTTTTGCAGTTTTCTTTGATCCAGGATTACACTTTGCATTTAGTTGCCCCATCTCCTTCAATTTGGAGTTCTTCATCCACTTCCTATCTTTCATTGTTAACATTTTGAAGTGGTCAGCACAGGCATTTTTAAAAATTTTTTTTTATTTGTTAATACTGGGGATTGAACTCATCACTTGGCTCTTGCCAGGCAGGTGTTTATGCAACTGAGCTAAATCCCCAGCCCAGCATAGGCATTTTGAGACGATTCTTCTATCTTCCTTACCTCAAGCTTTCCTTGTAGTTGGACCCAAGTGTTGAGCTTTTGGCAGGAGGTGCTTTGGAGGAGCCCAGTACTTCCCATCAGAAGCATGGCGCTGGTTTGTCCTCCTGGTGCTGTTAACACATCACTTGGCTGAGGTAGCAACAGCAGGTTGTCATAGAGGCAAGCCCTTCCTTCCTCATATAATTTAAGAGGTCCTCTTGGAAAAAGTCCTTCAAGATCACTTAAATATCAGGACCTCTCCAAACTCACCCAGTTCTTTGTCATGTGAATCAGTTATTATTAAAATGGTTACAAAAATGATTTTTTCCCCAAATTTACCATTTCTTCTATATTATTTATCATTCTGCCTTAAAGCAGAGCTTTCCGTTTCTTGCTATGTACTATCAATATCGATATGTAGGTTCTGACCTTATTCAGCAGTTATAATGTATTACTGTTCTTTCATTGTTGTTGTTTGTTGTTTTCTTGAGACAGGGTCTTGCTTTATAGTGCAGGCTGGTCTTGAACTTCACAGTGTAGTCCAGGCTAGACTTGAACTTGTGCTGATCTTCCTGCCTTGTGCTGAGATTATATTACTGTTCATTTTATAATGAATATAGTATTTGATGTGCAGAGTGTCCCTGATTTGGCCTTGCACCCAGCTGCTGGGGAGCTTTTGCTATGTACCTATTACTTTTTGAGAACTTTTGGTTTTTTTGTTTGTTTGTTTGTTTTTTTCCTCCCTTTGTTTTTGGAGACAAGGTCTCCCTGTGTAGTTCTGGCTGGCCTTGAACTCATTATGTAACCCAGCCTCACCTCAAACTCACTGTGGTCCTCCTGCCTCAGCCTCCTGAGTATTGGGATTACAGAGTTAAATCCTTTTGGAGGTGGGGCAGGGTTAAGACACTGTTTTGCTTTATGGTTCAGGATGGTCTTCAACTTACCATGTCACCTACGCTGGCCTTAAACTCACAGTGATTCTCCTCCTTTAGCCTTCCAAGTGCCAGGAGTACAGGTGTGGACTACCACACCTGCCTGACCTAAGATTCTGCAGCCTCCTTCTGTGCTTTCCCTACACTCCATTTTCAGTGCTCCCTCTCCTTTTGGTGTGAGCTGTGGTAATCAGAAGCCAAGAACTAGGGGCCAGGTATGGGTGTTATTCCTGGGGTGTTAGTGCGTCTTGGCCTTTTCAGTGGACCGAGTGGGAGGTAGAATAACAATTGTCGTGTGATTCAGCCCAATATATATATATTTCAAAAGGCATAAGTTTGGTTGGGGACAGTTCTGCACACCTGTAATCTTAGCTGCTTGCAAAGTCAAGACTGGAGAAGAATGAGCTCAACCTGGGCAATGTACTGAGACCCTATCTCAGCAAACAAACAAACAAACAAACTAAAAACGGCCAGGCATGGTAATGTACCCCTATAATCGTAGAACTCGGGAGGCCAAAGTAGGGAGATTACTACTAGTCTGAGGCCAGCTTGGGCTACATGGGGAATTCAGAACAGCCTGAACTACATAATGAGACAGTGTCTCAATAAATAAATAAATATCATGAGCTAGAGACTTAGAGTTGTAGTTTGGCAGTAGAACACTTACCTAGCATATGTAAGGCCCTGGGTTAGGCCTCTAGGACTACCAAAAATAATTGATATCTATTGATGCCTTTTGATTTTTGTTCAATGCCACAATTTTTCCTTACCTTCTGCTATATCCTGTTTATGTCCATTTTGTCCCTCAGAGAGAACTGGCACCCATATCATAAGCAGTGAGTTAGGTACATATGCTCAGGCTCCAGTACTCCCAAAGTTAACCCAGCACTGCTGCCAAAAAGCTATGTCTGAAGAACAGTTTATCATACTCCAAGTTCTTTTTGTTTTTAGACTTGGAGTACTGTGTCTGCAGGTTACTGAGATGAGTCTTTATATTGTTATTTCTTCAGAATACTGTTGCTAATTTGAAGGAATTTGGTTGTCCCACTTCAGTAAACATTTGGTTTTAGTTTCTCTCTATCCTTATTCATTTCATTTAGTTTTGAATATGTAAAGCTCTGACATAATGCTAGAAGTCAGATGCCGTAGTAGGAGGTACACACAGGAATGGTGTCTTGTGAGTAGCCAGGCTGTCCTGGTAGTTGGCAGTGCTTGCTGGGAAAACACGGAGGGCAGATGGATGTTCTTGGGTAAGGGGCGCACACTGACACTCTTCCCTCTTTTATAGTTGTAGAAGCAGGACAACAGAGTATGAGCTGGTGGGAGGTGATCAGGCCAACTGCCATTTTGGCTCCATCCTGCATACGACAGGCCTGCAGTACAGGGACTTCATTCACATAAGCTTTCATGACAAGGTATAGTATCAGTCAGCAGCTCTTTACTAATCCTGGGTCCTGGGGTCCTTTGGGATTCTGAGAGGAGTTCTGAATTATTCTTCATATAATTCAAAGATACATCTTTACCCCCAAATCTTGATCTTGATTTCTGGGAGTTTACAGACCCCCTTGAAGCCCACACAGACCCATGGATCCAGTTAAAAACACAGGTTTTGATCCATGTTTGGAGGTATGCACCTGAGACCTCAGCATTTAGGAGCCTGAGGCAGGAGGGTTGTGCTTTCAAGACCAGTTTGGACTGCATAGCGCAAGACCTTGTCTCACAATCTCACAAAACCAAAAAAAGGAAAAGAGAAACAACCTAAGTTTCACATAAGATGAAGCAACAGGGTTTTCTCAGGAACACTACGCTGCTATTTGTGCAATCTGATCTTTGCAGAGAGGCAGCAAACTGCATAAGAATCATCCCCACACAAGCTTCTGTTTTGGATCTTGGGCTCTATGTGTGGCACGGGTCTCATATTCTGGAAGTACTGCAGTGCCCCGGGAATGTGATGAAGCTGCAGAAGCCGGCTCTGTCTCAGCTTCCATGGCCGTGCCCAGTCCTGGGCAGCAGCTCTCTAGGCCATTCCCAGCCCCGGGACCCAAGAGCCAGTAGATTAGAAAAGTAGTTCTTAGCTTTTGCTGCCTGATGGGATCACCTGGGGAGATTATAAAATACCTAACGGCCACCCCTGGATCCTTTCTGCCACAGTTCTTGGTAGGTAGGACCCCCACTCAGAGCTTTAAAAGCCCCCACTGTAGCTGGCGTTGGTGACACATCTAATCTGTGGAGCACTCTGGGAGGCTCAGGACAGAGGATTGCACATTCAATCAATCCTAAACTGGGCAATTTAAAATCACTGAGCAAGGCCCTATCTCAAAAGGCCTGGGGATGCAACTTAGGGTAAATTCCTGGGTTCAGTACAGCAAAAAAATTTTTAAAAACCCTGGCAGGGGCTATGGAGATATATATCTATAACCTCAGCACTCTGAGAAGCTAAGACAAAAACTCCAAGTTTGAACCCAGCTTGGCCAACTTGGTGGCTTAATGACATCCTGTTTCACAATAAAAAAGAAGGGCTGGTCATATGGCGGAGTGCAGAGGCCTTGGGTTTAATTCCTGGTGCTGCAAAAAAAAAAAAATGAGAGACAGAACTGCAGACAGTTGCATGAGAGCACACGGCTGAAAGGGGCAGAGCTGAGTTTCTGCCAGACGCCAACTCTTTCCATGCCCCTCAGGACCCTGGTTCTCAGGGCTGAAGCCTGAAAGTGTGGTTTTATCTTTGCTTTTGAGATGGGGTCTCGATATGCAGTTCAGGCTGGCCTTGAGCTCACTTTGTAGCCCAGGCTGGTCTCGAACTCACAATGATCCTCCCACCTCAGCCTCCTGAGTGCTGGGATTACAGCACCACGCCCGGCTCTGTCTTTGCTTTCTTCTAAATCAAAGTGCACTCGTACCACACTCAAAGCCCTTTGCTCTGCTCAGAGGCTCCTAAAGCAGAGGAGGCTGGTTTTGCATTAATTGCTGTGGGAGGCTGCTGAGCTAAGCCTGCCCCAGGCCAGTAGGTGACAAAGAAGTGTGGCCCATGAGTCTGGCAAATGGCACCTGTCATACTGGCCTCCCCGAGGAGTGGCAGCTGGTCAGCAGGACTGCATGTGTCCACTGAGCTCGCAGGGGTGCTGGAGTGCAGCTGCAGAGGTAGTGAGGTTATACGCTGTGAAGGGAGCGTGAGACTTGACTTGGGGAGGCCAGAGAGGCTGGGAAAGATGACAGAATTTTTCACGTTCAGTAGTGTGGTTTTTTGTTTGTTTAGTTTTTTTTGTTGGTGGTACTGGGGATTGATCCAGAGCCATCGTACTGTGACACTTCCCCAGACCTTTTTAATTTTTTATTTTGAGACAGGTTGTCCCTAAATTGCCCAGGTTGGGTTCAAACTTGTGATCCTCCTGCCTCAGTCTCCCAGAGTGCTGGGATCACAGGCCGCTGCACCACCATACCCAGCTCACAATGTTATATGGAAGATTTTTTGTATAGTGTCAGGTTCTTCCCCTGGCTGGTGAGGGATGAGGAGCAGGAGATCAAGGAGTGGTAGCCACATCTCCAGGTCACAGAAATCAGTTTCTTGGGAGTGACCGGATGCTGTGTCACTAGTGGATTAGGGGATGTCTCTTGCACGTAGGCCTCATGCTTCCTGTCCTTCAGGTATACGAGCTGCCCTTCTTAGTGGCTCTGGATCACAGGAAGGAGTGTGTCGTGGTTGCTGTGAGAGGGACCATGTCTCTGCAGGTAACATGGGAGTGGGGGGTGGGGGGGATGAGCAGGCCACCAGGGTGTAGAGGAAAGGATGTTCTTAGCCAGCAGCGTAGGACCTGGAAGGAAACACAAGGGTGGGAAGTGTTTTCTCTGCAAAATTGGGGGTTAGGAGGAAGCTCATTCCCTTTCCACTGACAAGTGTCAGGGACCCAGAGACCAGCAGTTTCTACCTCCCAGCCAGATGCCATTTGTCCTTCTCACCGACTTACTTGGCCCAGGTGACCCTCCCCAGAGCCCGGTGGAGCAGTGCATTCAGTCTGGCTGTGGAAAGTCAGTGCCATTTACCAAGTTCCTGTGCCAGGTGCTGGCCAGCCCCAGCCTTCTTAGTACCCAAGCAGCAGTGTACCCCTTTTGTCTGTCTGCAGCTGGTGAGCCCCTGTACCTTCAGCTTCCCCATCCCTGACTTCTCAGCCTGTTGGAGACCCAAGTTGATGCTGTCCCTCCCCCGACTCTGTGGTGGGTTCTTCCTGGCTGCCCCCTCTCACTTCCTCATACTTTTCTGCTGACCTAAAACATGTCATGCAGCCCTAGCTCTTGTGGCTTAGGCCTTCTGCTTTGGACCAGTTCTGGGGTGGCCTCGGTCCCAAGGTCCTATCCATCTAGCTCTCCCTTCCTGATCTGCCCCTCCCCAAGGCTGTGCTCATTTCACCAGTTTTCCCCAGGTGTCCACTAAAGGGACAGTGACACTGTCCTTGCTTTGTGTGTCCACTCACAGCCCAGTCCGTCACACGGAGGCTCCAGGGCCCTGAGCTCTCTGGCCACATCCTCAGTGCCCAGCCATGGCCTGACTGCTGCCCAGACCTTTCTCTGCTGGAGGCTTCTCATACCCTGGCTGTCCCTTAGCTATCCTCAGGGGTAGAGCTCGTCCTTCTCAGACCTTCCCAGTGCATTTCACCTCCTTTTTTACTTTTTTGGTGGTACCTGGGTTTGAACCCGGCATCTTTGCACTGAGCCGGTTTTTCATTTTTTATTTTGAGGCAGGCTAAATTGCCCAACCTGGGCTCAAAGTTGCAGTCCTCCCACCTCAGCCTCCAGAGTAGCTGAGATCCCAGGCTTGTACCACCAAGTTCTGCTGAAGTCTGTTTCGAACTGCAGCCTTGTGGGTACTTTATCACTTGACCGTTTGCCTTTCCAAGTCCCTCTCTGCACCCTGCCCTACACGCCCATGCCCGAGGTTTCTAGAGTGTGGATGTAGAGCCCACCCTGTCCTGGGGCCTCCTGAGACCCAGGGCTGCCCTGGCACCTGGCTCACTGCTTCCTCAGCCAGCACTTTTCTGCAGACCGTGTACAGATTGGGACTGCTGGCTTTGTCCCACAGCCATGGGCTTTGAGGACACCCCTTTGGGATCCACTACAGTAGAGAGGTGGAGCTGTGTTACAGGCACCCCTGCCACGTGCTTGCTCACCCCCAAGCTCTTAATAGCTTTCTTGCAGCCCTCAGGAGCTCCCTGCCTGGCCTCATTTCTTGTCAGGCATCTCAGGGTCATGGAATGTTACTGCTGCCCACAGAACAGGCCTGGGAGCAGGTGCCATGGGGCACAGAGCCCACCCTGCCTCGGCTTACACGGCTTCTGCCCACGGCCCTCTGCAGGACATCCTCACCGACCTGTCTGCTGAAAGTGAGAGCCTCCACCTGGACACGGACCTGCAGGACTGTGTTGCGCACAAGGTACTTGGGGTAGCTGGGCTTGTTTCGTGTACCTGAGCCCCCAGCCTAGGGCACCAGGGCCGGGCGCATTGGGTGTTGCCATCCTCCCCATGCAGATCCTCACTCCAGTCCTGAGTGGGGATCCACACTCCTGGTACCTGGAATAGCTCAGATTGGGTGTTGGAGGCAGGCTGTGGCTTTTCTGCCCTCTTCATTAAAGTACACTGTTTGAAAATAAACTTTAGTATAAGCCAGGTAATCCAGCATTCTGGGAGTCTGAGACAGGAAGATCAAAAGTTCAAGCCCAGCCTGAGCAATTTATCGACGGGACCCTGTCTCAGAAAGTGTAGAGGGCTAGGGAAGTGGCTCAGTGTGAGGGTCCAGGGTTCAGTGTCCAGACCCGAAAGAAAAGCTTCAGTGTAGCACAGCACAAGGTAATGACAGCTCCGGTCCAGAGGCAGGGGCACCCTGAGTGCTGTCTGTTCCTTGCCTGGTCCCAGTGTCACTCTTACTGGGCCTGGGGATGGAGAGTGAACTCCTCCTGCCCTAGCACAACCAGGTGTGTGTGTGTGTGCAGAAGTTTCAGATGGTGATTCGCATGTCTTAACTGTTTGCAAAGAGCTCCCAGTTCAGTGGTATTAAATGCTGTGTGCCCATCACCTCTATCTACACCCAGGATTTTTATCACTGTCGGTTGAGTATGGTGCCGGGTACACACCACCTGCCCCGCTCCAGGCCCAGGGAGCCTCTGGTGTCCATCCTGTCCGTGGGTTTGCCTGTTGTGGGGACCTCACAGAAACCATATGTCCCTTCTGTGAGTGGCATAGCATCTTCAGGGTTGTATCAGCCTCGTTCCTGGAAGGGTGACAGTAAGGTGCTGCACAGCTTCACCCGTCCTACTGCTCACTCGGGTTGTGTCCACCTCCCGTGTTGCTCTGGGCCACTGTGAGCGTGGGTGTGCAGATGTCCGTTCCAGTTCCTCCTTTCACTTCTCGGAGTGGACCTCAGAGTGGAGTTGCTAGTTCACTCAGCAGTTCCACATGGCTTGAGGAACCACCAGACTGATTTCCGCGGGGGCTGCACCACTGCCCACTTCCACATACCCACCAGCAGTGGCCGAGCACCCGTTTCCCAGAATCTTGTAACGCTTGGTTCTCCATTGTCCCAGCCATCCCTGGGGTACTGCGCTACATTTCCCTGCTGACCAGGATGTTGCTGAGCAGCTTTTGAACATTGAGGGGTCTGGAGCGATTGACTCCAGAGGTCCCAATGGCCGCCCCTGGGAGGAGGCCTCAGGCTCTTGAGTGGAAGGCAGGGGCTTGCCATGGGTTTTGCATGCCTCATGTATTTTTATGACCCAAAGGAGCACTACTTCTTTTTTTTTTTTAGGAGCACTATTTCTGTAATTGTGTGTGTGTGTGCACACGCGCAGTGCTGGAGGATAAACCCAGGCCCTCAACTACACTAGGCAGGCAGGCTCTCTACCTCTGAGCTACACTTCCAGCCCTTTTTATTTTGAGACAGGCTCTTATTAAGTTGCCTGCCTGGGCTTAAACTTGGGGTCTTCCAGAGTAGTTGGGATAACAGGCATGTGCCACTATACTGGCCCCAAAATGTTTGTTTTTACATTTAAAAATGTGTTATAGCAAGAGTCTCTCTGGAGGTAACTGAACGGGAGTGGACTTCTGTCCTGCCATCAGTTAGGAGCTTGACAGTGCTAGGAATGAGAGCTGCGCCCCCCGCTGGGGAATCAGACTGGGGCCTTGAGCGTGCTGGGCAGGCGCTCCTCTGAGCTGCTCCTGCAGCAGGAACTTCACTAACCTTCAGCTGCCTTTTGGTTCCACTCACAGAAGACCCCAGGTCAACTGTGTGTGTGCTGGGGGGTAGTGGGGAGTTGAAGGAAACTTTCAAACACCTCCTAGCTGTCTTCCCACCAGTTCTGATAGGAAAGGGCTTCTGTGACCACGAGCTGAGGCCTCCCTTGCACCAAATGTGGTGCTATCAGTGACTGCTTATCCCTTGGGCCGAGAAGGCAGCTGCTCATGGCTGGTTCTCAGCTCTTGCTCCAGTGCTGTCTGTGCCTCCGGGAGCCCCCTCAGCATTCCCCAGCGAGTGCGGGCCTATGCTGGGGTGGCTGTCAGTGGCAGGGCAGGTTCTGCCTGAGTGCACACTGGTCACATAACAGGCCCCTAATAAAAGTGACTGTTGTAGTTGCTGGACAGTGAAGAGTTTGGTGTTTGTCAAAAAGTGCTCTGCAGACAGGCACAGAACGCCAGTTTTTCCTTTGGTGTCTTGTGTCATGGTGCCAGGCTTAATAGTCTGCTGCAGGATTATCAAATTTCTCAATATTAGCAGTGTTTGCTTGTTTTTGTAGTACTGAGGATTGAACCAAGGGGCACTATACCATCAAGCCACATCCTCAACCCTTTTAAAATTTTGTCTTTCCAGAAAAGGCCTTGCTAAGTTGCCCAGGGTAGCCTTGAACTTGGGATCCTCCTGCCTCAGGCTCTTGAGTATTTGGGATTCCCAGCATGCTTCACTGTGCTCAGCTGCACTGTTTCAGAGATAACTAAGAACAGTGCCCTGTATTATACCAAATCCCCTCTCTTAGAATATAAGCCGAGAGGAGACTGGCCAGGCCTTGGACCTGGCAGTACTGTCATGAGGAGGTGTTCTGGAAGGAATTTTGGTCAGCAGGGTTGACATTCCTCTGTTGAAACTGCTTTTCAAGGAGCCCATTACTTAGAACAGCTCTATTCATTAAAGTTTTAAGTTTTATTTTTTGAAGATAGCCTAAAACCTGGCCTCCCTAAAATTTGCTTCTGATGGATTTATTTTTGCTTCTGTGGGGTTTGTAGTAGATGCCTAGCCAGTGTCTTTGAGTTAGAGGGCTGCATGCTGTCACAGTGTTAGATCAGTCTTTCGTGATCTTAGTAGGAGCGGCCTATTTGTGTGTGTATCTGTGGAGAAAAATGCCTTCTGCTGATGGGGTGGGATGTCCCTGGTATCATGCACTCCCTCACAAATGTCATGAACACCTGCCTGAGCCAGCATCTGGGCCAGGAGCTAGGAATGCAGTGTGCACAGCAGGGCCACTGACCCCGGTGAGGCCCTGTCCAGATGGTGAGTCCCACAGAAGCAGGTGTGTGGCCTGCTGTGTGTGCTGAGCCTTACTGAGCCGCCTGCCTGTGTTTTAGGGAATTTCTCAGGCCGCGAGATACATTTACCGACGACTGGTCAACGATGGAATCCTGAGCCAGGCATTCAGCATCGCTCCTGTGAGATTGCCTTTCATGTTTATTTCCTTGTCCGGTTACTGGCCATCCTGTTATCCTGGAACCCACTCTGTTCTCTGTCCCCCAGGAGTACCAGCTGGTCGTGGTGGGGCACAGCCTGGGAGCAGGGGCGGCCGCCCTGCTGGCCATCATGCTGCGAAGCTCCTACCCACAGGTCCGGGCCTATGCCTTCTCCCCACCCCGAGGGCTTCTAAGGTAAAGCCTCACATTCAAGCCATGTGGCCCACTCATCTTTTATTTTCATTTAATTTTAATGTCTTATTCTCAGGAGTTCACATTTTGAAGCACTGTTTAGTTGAAGAAAGACTATGTATAGCTGTCCTAAAATTGCTCTGACTATAGCTTTAATTTCCTAAACGATGTAATTTGAAGTTTTGTTTTGTGGTACTAAGACTCCTGCTAAGCTACATCTCCAGCCCTTCATTTTTTCTTTTTTGGTACCAAGGATTGAACTCACAACCGCACACGTGCAAGGCAGGCGCTTAAGCCGCTGAGCTAAATCTCTAGCCCAGCCCTTCATTTTTTGAAATAGGATGTAAGTTTCCCAATATGACTCAAATGTGAGATCTTCCTGCCTCAGTCTCCCACAGTGCTGAGATTACAGACGTATACCACCACATCCAGCTAAGACAGATTTTTTTTTTTTGGTACCGGAGACCAAACTCCCGACCTTGCACTTGCCAAGCAGGCGCTTCTGCCACTGAGCTAAATCCTCAGCCCTTAAGATTCATTTTTTTTAAATTATTTTTTAGGTTCAGAACATATTTCAGCAGAAGGCAGAGAGAATTCCCATGTATCCTTTGCCCTACATACCCACTGCCAGCAGAACTGAACCTGCATTGAAACGTGGCTGTCACCCAGGAGTCACAGCTTACACAGGGTTCACTCTTGGTGGTTTTGGACAAATGTATAATGGCATTTTTTTTTTTATCAGTACCGGGGATTGAACTCACGACCGCCTGCTTGTAAGGCAGGTGTTTATGCCACTGAGCTAAATACCAGCCCTTATAATGGCATTTTTATGAGTTCAAAAAATACGTATGTTGCTGATTCAATATACTGTTCTATGTGACGTTTTGCCTTGATTTATAAAAAATTGTACCACATTTAAAAAAAAACCACAAAATTAATCAAAAAATAAGAAGGGGTGGGCAAGGGGGATTATAGCATAGGCCTATAATCCCAGCACTCAGGAAGCTGAGGCAAGAGGCTCACTGCAAGCAAGGTCAGCCTGTGCTACATAATGGAGTTTAAAACCAGTTTGAACTATATGGCAAGACCCCATCTCAAAAAAAAAAAAAAAAAAAGTAAGAAAGAGAAGGCCCCCTAAAGTCATCACACAAAAATTAGAAAATATAAAGTTGGACACCTATAATCCCAGCACTCAGCAGCTAAGGCAGGAAGATCACAAGTTTGAGGCCAGTCTGAGCAATTTAATGAGACCATCTCTAAAACAAAAAAGGGATGTAGCTCAGTGGTAGAGCTACATGATAAGCTACCTGCTTATCATGTGTGAGATCCTGGGTTTAATCCCCAGTATATGTGCGTGCGCACGCGCACTCTCACACACACACACACACACATACTCACACACACACACACACACGAACAACAAAAACTTTTCATCCTGGAAATAGCAATTCTCAGTGATTTTACTTTTTATTGTTTTCATATATGTAAGTGGGTGTGTTTGTACTTACATGAAAGATAGTGTATCACACCTACTCTTCTGCTTCTTGCTGTTGCTGCTTTTACGTTTTTTGTTTGCTTGTTGTTTTTTGTCTTTTTCCTTTTTATCGGTACCGGGGATCGAACTCACGACTGCCTGCTTGCAAGGCAGGCGCTTAGGCCGCTGAGCTAAATCCCCAGCCCCTGCTTTTACGTTTAATGGTACACACCGAGTTTACCAGCACAGTAGGGCACCCTCATCCCATCCCATGGCTTCACTGGGCAGTTACAGTGTGAACCCCACTCTTTGGACAGATGCTGGGTGCCTGCTCACACATGCAGGCCTGTCGCAAATGCTCTTTGCCTCTGCCCTGGTGCACTGTTGCATCTCGGGGACATTCTGCCGATGGGGCTGCTAGCCAGAGGATAAATGCATAACGTGGTCTGCATCCAGGTCCAGTTGTATTTTAGCTGTGGCATTTGCTGAGTGTCTTAGAATGTGGCCAGTTAGTAGCTCTAGATGAAATCAGTGTCATTTCTTCTCCTTTAAGGGATAGGTAACAGTGATACCAATGTCACACAGACCTGGTAATGCGGCTCAATCCCCTGGAGACTGACTTAGTTTCTCTTGTTTGAAATTTCAGCAAATCTCTTTATGAGTACTCCAAGGACTTCATTGTGTCACTTGTCCTAGGAAAGGATGTGATTCCAAGGTCAGTTGGCTTGGTGGTTGATCTGGGGGTTGGGGCAGTCAACCACAGAGTTCTGAGCTCCGTCTGACTTTTTTGCTGAACAGGTTAAGCGTGACCAATTTGGAAGATCTGAAGAAAAGAATCTTGCGAGTGATCGCCCACTGTAATAAGCCGAAGGTAATCCAGATACCTGTATTCAGAGCATCTGCAGGAAGAGATGTTGAGCTGTAAGAATTCAGCGTCTCGACCCAGTGCACTTGGGCTGTTGCTGGAAGTTTTTCTTTCAGCCTCAGACAGGTTTCTGAGACTCCAGTGTGATATGTAAGAGGAAACGGTCCAATCCAGTCCATGAAGTGCCAGTTAGGACAGCCTGCCAGGACCGTCCCTTTTCAGTTACCTGACCTGCCTGTAAGGCTTTGTAGGCCCGTCTTGTGACTGACAGTATTTTGATGCCTTTGGTTATACTGTCCCCAAGGTTAGGAAGTAACAGTCCTAACCCTAAGAGGTACTAGTATCTCCACTGGATGTAACAGTTGGTAGCAGTGGTGATAGAGGCTTGGAAGGTAGCTCAGTGTGGAAAGCTTTCCTGGCATCACAAGGACTTGGTTCTATCCCTGGGCTACATAAAAAAAGCGTATCTTAGAACTCTTAGTAATAAGTTTTTAAAAGGTAGGAGGAGATGTAGCCCCACCGTAGAGCATTTGCCTACTGTGTGAGGCCCTGGGCTTGATCCTTGGTATGATTAAAAAAAAAAAGCAAGTAGGCTTAAAAAATGTTCTTAAAAATATGAACCCAGGCAGGAGGAAAGGAGGGACAAGGAGTTAGATATGCATGATATGCAGTGAATTGTAACACAAACTTTGAAAACGTGTATCACAATGTGGCTTTATTTGGATAGACTTGCCAATGATTTTCACTTTTTTAACCTGTTACTTGAATTGTTTTTGTTGCTAGTCAAGAAAAAAAATTAAAACTGTTCTCATCAGTGATCTTCCAAATCTCCTCAGAAAGTGGTAATGGGAAAGAGAATATAGCTTACCAGTGCAGCATATGCTTGATACCCCCACAGCCCCTGCCCCAAAAAAGAAAAAGACAGTAGTTTTTAATGTCCTGCAAATAAAACTGATTTGCAAAATTGCTTAAAGAATATAGCTGGGCGTGGTGGTGCTCACTTGTAATCCCAGCACTCAGGAGGCTAAGGCAGAATGATCATTGCAGATTTGAGATCACCCTGGGCTACAAAGTGAGCTCAAGGCCAGCCTGAACTGCATAGCAAGGTTGTCTCAAAAAGACAAATGAAAAGAAGGGGGGAAAAAAAGAAAAAGAGTAATTTGGGCTGGGGATGTAGTTCAATGGTAGTGTTTGTCCAGCATGTGCAAGGTCTTAGGTTCCACCTCTAACAACACAACACAGCAATTAAGGGTAATTTTTCATCAAACTAAGCACATTTGGTTTTAAATATGGCTGCAGATATAATGGTTTTGTCCCCAAGAGGCACCTGTCACTCACGATCCAGCATTTGGGAAGAGGACAACCTGAGCCCTGAAGGTTGCTACCACTTAGCAAAGCACTGTCCTAAGTCCTGCCAAAGACCAACATTCTGCTGTTTTGGTTTCACCCTCAGTACAAGATCTTACTGCAAGGCTGCTGGTACGAACTGTTTGGAGGGAGTCCCAGTAACTTCCCCACTGAACTGTATGGAGGCGACCAGGGACACCTGACACAGCCTCTTCTGGGGGAGCAGAGTCTGCTGACACACTGGTCCCCGGCATACAGCTTCTCCAGTGACTCCCCGCTAGACTCTCCCACCAAGTACCCGCCTCTGTACCCCCCTGGCAGGATCATCCACCTGGAGGAAGAGGGAGCTTCTGGGAGGTGAGTGCAAGGGTGTATGGGCTCTGGAGCCTCTGCTGGCCACCAGGGAGAGCTGAGCTCCTAGGAAGCTTCGCTAGGTGCTCTTCTCTTTTTTTATTGAAGGTTTGGCTGCTGTTCTGCTGCTCAGTACAGGGCGAGGTGGGCACATGAAGCGGAATTCAGCAGAATACTCATAGGCCCAAAGATGCTGACTGACCACATGCCGGACATCCTAATGAGAGCCCTGGACACCGTGGTCACCAACAGAGCAGCCTGTCTCTCCTGTCCAGGGCATGGGGTCTCTAGTGTGGATGTGGCATGACCAGACCTACTGGAAACTGCCCAGACAGTGGACACACATTTGTTCTTGAACTTTGTGACTTCTCTGAGGCCAGTATTTGGATGTCTATGGACAGAAATCTGATTAGCCTTCAATTCAGTGGGCTTTGGAATGCCTCAAATACAAGGGAGCTACTTTTGATCACAGTATTCACAGGAGGGGGAGCCTGGGTGAGCACCAAGGCAAATAGGATTTCTGCACTGAGAGCATGGCAGAGGACTGTCCCCACGGCCACCTGGGAGCTGTCTCAGAAGACACCGCAAGTGTCTGAAGACTGTAAACTAACCCGTAGCTTCCCTTCAGGGTCTTGTCCTGCCACAGCTTAGCTGAGTCCAAATTTGGATGGCAGGAACATGGTTTACTTTCCACTCTTTTCCTCCTGGGCGACCCTGAGTGCCAACTGCGGGTGAAGACAGCTGGATGGTGAAAGAAACCATACCCTGCACTCTATGGCCTCTGGTTACTGCCTAGGTGTTTAAACCGTAAGAGTTGAATACTGTCTCTGAGGCCTGCCAGTGGGTTCAGAGGGAGTTAAAGGAAAAAAAAGTAAATAAAGCATTTATACAGAGTTATCTGCAGTTTTTCAGGTCCCTTTAGTGGGTGGTTTCACAGCAATCGTGTGTAGTGTTTTCTTTGTACTCTCAGGAAGCTCTTGGAGAAGGTATTCATTAGGACAATGAAGTAAAAGATGGAGCTGACACGCAGGAAATGAAAGCTAAGGATGGAAGAGACGAAGGTTATGTGATTCTGAGACCTAAGGAAAATATAAACACATAATACGTCTTGAGAGAGTAGACAACAAATTCAATTCCACAGCTGAACTATTGATACACACAGAAAACTAAGCACTAATTATTCCAAAGGAAACCACAAGTGCAGGAAAGGCAAAGTTAATATATGGCACAGCCATAAGCAACTTACCAGGTAAGGCCAACAGCTAAGTCATAGCACTGAACAGGAAAGGTGTTCGAGGGTAGAGAAGGCACCTCAGCTTTTCATGACAGGAATGTCAATGGCAAGGGCTAAATCTGAGACTCCATTAGCAGGAAAAGTATGTAATTTAGACACCTATCAAGAACTACACTGCAGATGTTGCTTCTGGCAAGGGTACAAAGAGGTAACTGCTGCTTCTGTAATGAACAGTTTTAAGCTCTTTACCTCTGGTTTCAAACAAACAAAAAAACAACTAAAAAAATAGAAGGGGCACCATGAACACTGAGTCTAACCTTGTGGTCTAAGTTCAGGCTCTAAAAAAGGTAAGTTCATGTGGTCCACCCAGCCACTGCAGGCTATGTAAGCTATGTCTGCTTCTCAGCGATGATATCTTCAGTCTTCAGCTGTAGCCCAAGACATGGGCACACGCAGAAGCCTGCCTGCCCCAACTTGAGTCTCGCAGCCTCTTGAGACAATTCAACAAACCCCACCTGCCACCCCCGCTGTGGCACTCCCTCCATCCCTCCAACGTGGAATGCACATGTCCAGCAACCCTGGATTTTAAAGTGAAACAAACAAACACCAAGAGCTTGTTCACTGAGTTTTCAAAAATTCAAATATTACCAGTCATATGATTCAAGGATTTATTAAGTCTTACATGCAAAACATACTGCTAATTGCATTAGCAAAAGATCAATGTAAAAACACTCCACAATTCTGCAACTGTCAATTAAAAAAATTTTGTTTTAGTGGTTGAAAGGTCTGACATTGTGTCCTCGCCAGTGAGTTAAGTTGTACAGAACATCATTAGCACTAGCACAGTTTACAGAACCTCACAGACCCAAAGGAGATTGTTAGGCAAAGCCACGACAGGAAGCCTGTGTCCGTGTGGGTGAGGTAAACAGGGTCAAAGTCAGTATTAGTCACGTGACAGTGTTGGTAATCTGGCAAGACAGTGATGTTAAGAAGGTTCATAGTTTTTAAGAATATCTAAAATATTTTAAAAACTGTAAAGCTGCAACACATGATTTTTACACCTAGTTACTAGGAGACTAAAGAAAGCACTTAATTAGCTTTGAATAAAGTAACGTGAAAATAAGAATGCACTTCTAACCTACAAAAAAACTTCTAATGCATTACCGAAAGATTTTATAGTACAAATAGGCATATTGCTCATTAAGAAGGGGTTCTATTAGAAAAGCACTTACTATTAGCAACTATGGGAATGACCAGTTCAAAGATGAATTAAATGCCCAATTTTGGGAGGGAGGGCCAAGGGTAGGAAAAAGCTTAACAAAAGACACTGATTAATACCAACCTTTCTTCATCATCTACTGCATTTGACAGAAATTAACCTTAAAAATCTTTACCCGTGACACTTTTTATTGTTATTTCATGTACAATGTAGTGTAAATTAATCTCTACTTCATATTTTGTCAAAATACTGTCATCCTTTGATCTCGTTATGTCTCACACACTCCACCCAGCACACCCACAACTAAAGACAGAATACTTGATTAGAGCAAACAAGAGAATGAGTCCTGTTCGAAGTCTCAGTAAAAGCTAGTAAATGATTTAAAAACCCTCACTATGAAATCAAAAAGACTGACCCAAAGAGTGAGCTGTTATACCCATTCCATTATGACATACAGTACAAAGGTACAGAATGAACATGGGCTGAGAAGTTACTGACGCGTTACACAGCAGCATGTCATTAAGGAGGCTGTTCTGCTTCACTCGATCTGAAAGCTACTTGGATAGTGTGCACACCTCCTGATTTCAGAAGCTGCAGTCTTCTTACAAAGGTCTTTCAACAGTTTAGTGCTTAGTGTTCTTAGCACAACACCACAACTTAGTTCAGAAGGTATTTTGGCAACTTTTAATCTGAGCAAGGATAGGGGCTTTTGAAAAATAAGGCTTTAAGAAGGCTTGTCATTTTGGGGCTAAATTTTAATATGATGTGAATTTGAACTTTTACATTTAAAACAAAACCTTAAAATTACTGATTGGTTCAAAATGGTCTTATGGAAAAATTAATCTGTAACAAAAACTTGGCATTGAGTACGAAGGCTCCACCGTTTTTTGAGCAAAGCATACAAAGGTTCCAAGGGACAGGATCAAGAACTAAGGACTTGGACATTTACAACAGCAGGCATTTTCTCTTCCTCTTCTTGACAGGAGGTGGGCAGAGAACTGCTCGGATAGCTTCATCAAACACTGTCTTGAGGCCTCGTTGAGTGAGAGCCGAGCACTCCAGATATTTTACAGCACCTGTAAAGGAACATGACCACATGGCAGGGCCAGCTCCCACCCCTGCCTATACTGCCCCACAGTACCCTCAAGGCCAGGATGGCCTTGCTTAGCAGCTTCCCCCAAAGTAAACCAGACCAGACCCTGAGAACTGGAGAACCAATCTGCTTTCCCAAACCAGATTCTCATCTGCCAACAAAATAAAAGCAGACACAAGAAAGGCAGGATTTCATACCGATCTCCTTGGCCATGGCCAAACCCTGTGGATAGGTGATGGGAGTCAGCTTCTTCTCCTTCAGTTTCTCGATCGTGTCTTTATCATCCCTAAGATCAAGTTTTGTTCCCACAAGGATAATGGGAGTGTTGGGACAATGGTGTCGCACTTCTGGATACCACTGTAGATGAAGAAAGAACAAAGGCTGTACTATTCTCCTCCTTTATAGATGACCTTCACCAAGATTCCTACAACAGATGCCCAACTGCACCAAGCACCCAGCTCGGCCTCCACTGCTCAGACCCTCCATGTACTTCAAACCTTCCCCATGATCCCTCAAGAGCCACAAGGAATTTCTAGGCAGAACCTCCCACATTTAGGGTCTACAGAAAGCCACTGCCTGTCAAGGGACTGATGGAAGAAAAGGGGACAGGAGAGAGAAGGGGAGAAAGGAAAGTACCCTAAAAGGAAAGCACTTTGTTTTGGGGGAATCAAGTCAATTCTTAGGGCCATCTCAAAATCATAATCATCATCATCATCTATTCAGAGATGAGAGTATATAAAACTACTAATGAGAACTTGCATCTCTGTCACCATTGTCCCCACTGAAAATACTCCTGACTGCTGTAACAAAAGCAGCCCTTTATGTCAGAGGCTTTGCTATTTTACTGAGGATCTCCTATCTTCTGGTAATACCTAAAAGCTTTAAGAAACCTGCATTCTAAAAGCTGTATGATTAAAACCTGATGATGTTAAATCAGTCAAATATGTAAGAACTAATCTAAGTAATGAAAATTATTAACAGTAAATACTTACTTTTAAATACTATATTCTCAAAGTGACATGTGTAATCTTTTAGATTTTTGCAGTGCTGGGGCTGAAGTCCAGGGCCTACACCACTGAGCTACATTCTCAGCCTTTTAACCATTTTAAAAAATCCTCAACTTACCTTTGCACGGACATTTTCAAATGATGCAGGACTCACAAGGGAAAAGCAAATTAAGAACACATCCTGTAAAAAAGGAAACATAGGTACATTTAGAAAACAATCTTAAAATGATGACTGCACTTTGCTTTCAAAATAGGGACATGTGCCTACTGACTGGTACTAGCAGCTGAGGTTAGACACCTGCTCCCTGTTCACCCCTGCAGTCTGTCAAACAGCTCCAAAACCAGAACCAGCATGTCAAGCAACGAGTGACTGGGAGAAAGGGGGATGAAGTAAAGGAAGAAATATGCCAGCAGCTGTGTGAGGCTAAGGAGGTACCAAGCCAGACCTATGAGAGGCCTCTTCTACCACTCCCCAACTCTTGACTTGGCCTCTAATTATCTGTATACACAGACAAAAAAATAGAACGTACTACAACAAATGTGGTTTCTGTTTCCCAAAAGCAGAGTCAATATTTAAAAAAAAATTACAAAAGTATGCATGTAAAGTACAAAAACTTTTAGATCATCACTACCTCCAATTAACTGCCTGTCACAATCCCTGGCACAAATGAGGGTTGAAGTATCTGCTGCCTGGGCCCTTCCTTCCCTGGAGAAGGGTGTTTCATTCAATGTGGAGGTGACATCCTCCCTGCTGACAATCACCCTCATATATCACAGTTTCTCAAGCTCAACCTGGGCCTCTGGAGAACTGGTCCCCCAGGGAAGCTGTCACTACAGATAGAAAGGAAAAGCAGGATAGAATATGTGCTTGGACAGTGTTTCTGAATAAATATATTTGAGTTTTTCTTCCCATTTGATATTGTGCAAAAAGTAAAATCCAAAAATGTTTACCTTTATTTAAAAAAAGCTCAAGGGCAGGGGACTTAGCTCAGTGGCGTAAGTACCTGCCTGGCAAGCACAAGGTCATCAGTTTGATCCCCAGGACCAGGAAAAAAAAAAGCTCAAGTTTCTAAAATACTAGCCTTCTAAGCACCTGCCTTGCAAGCAGGCGGTCATGAGTCCGATCCCTGGTACTGATAAAACAAAACAAAACAAAAAAACATATTCCTAGAAAAAGGCAATTATGCTACTTTGTGAAATGTATACAATTCCAAAGCTAGCACTTGAAACCATCCAGCTGGTTATCTTGTACCTGAAAAGGAAAGAAACATCCCACAACAGCTTTTTATAAGTCACATTGTGTAAATGCTGGCGCATGCACAAGCTTGCCCCAGAATCACCATGGCCTCTTAAGTTGATTGCAAACATCTCAAAGCATGGTCAGGTTAGCTCACCAGCACCGCTTAGACAGCCCACCAAATAGGACACCACAGCAGAAAAGAAGGCCCTGGCATCAAGGTTAGTCCTGCCCTGGCTCAGCTCTCAGCCACCCTCCCAAGCCCCAGGTGGGTTGTTCCCGCTATATCTCCGCCCAGCTGGAGAGGGCCCTTCCCTAAGCCCTCCTTCATCCGGGAGGAGGGAAGCAAGCAGTTCACACACTGCTTCAATCCAGCTCCAATGAAAGCTTATTTCATCAAGCAAACCCCACCTTGAGTGAATTAAATATAAAACACTCAAGGAACTTGAGGCTCAGAATTCCTAGGAAAACTAAGTGCAATGAGAGAACAGATAAGCTTGAGACTGAAGTCGATTGAAAGTCTTACATACGGCAATCGGCTTGTCTTTGCCCTTGGAGGTTATATCCTTACCATACGTGTCTCCAACCTAGTAATGCATGAGAACTTGGTTTGAGTTCAGGAAAAGAAAAAAAAAAAAAATCAATATAACCTTTTACTCCATCAGAAGTTTGTCTCAACTTTCTTAAGGAATTTATAGCACATGATGACCACATCTTTGATGCCAAATGCCACCAAATCCCTCCAGGAACCTGGCAAAGAGGGTGTGTCCCACATGCAGCAACAGTGTGGAAGTTGGGAAACACTGGAGAGTGCAGTTCTACTAGCAGCGCACATCGCAGGATCTGTCACATTCCCACGAGGCTGGAAACGTGAAGAGTCCCTCAGCATAAAGGCCTTCTCTGTGCTGTCACTGGCATCCATTAGCAACAAGTGCTCGATGCAAGTTCTCAGACCCAAGCCCCTCCAAAGCCTCAGCAAACAGGAAAGGCACCTGGCTGTGAGCCAGACCACACTGTGTGAACATCAAGTCTCCCAAGCAGAACCTGTGTCCCTGTCCCCTTGTTCTTAGAATGAGGTCTGAATTTACAGACTTGGTACAGAATAGGTATTGCTCAAATGAATTTCTTTAATTCCTGGAACCTCTAAAGAAGTAGTAAGGTTGCCCTTGCTGACAAGTTTCAGAAGTGGCATAGCCGGTGGGTTTTGTCTTGTTTTTTGAGACAGTGGATTGACACACAAGGGTCAGGCTGTCCTTGAAACTCACTAAGTAGCCCCAGTTGGACTTAAACTCCAGGGGCTCCTCCTGCCTCAGCCTCTCAAGTGCTGGGATTACAGGCATGTGCCATCACACTCAGTGCATCTAATATGTATCACAATGCTTTCAATTCATTTCTTTGTTCCAATAAACCTCAACAGACTTAACTCTTCCAACACAGAACCTTGGAACTCTAAGAAAAAGGCATACAGAAGCACTGTTTTAATTTCATTTCACTCAAGCTTAATTTATAATTCAAACAGAATACTTCTGTAATTATTCCATTTGAATCTGTGGACTATCTTTTGAAGATTTACCCCTCTGGACTTTATATGATACTGAATTTTTACTGTGACACAGACACCAGAATCAGTCACAAAAACAAAAGTCCCAAAATATCCTCTAACTGCACTTCTTGTGCTCTTTTCAATTTTTAAGAACATGTTTTTTGATGGAAAAAAGATGCAGAACAGAAGCCAAGCAGTTCCACTTCCCACCCATGTGAATGTCGCACCATCTGCCTGTTCCTCCCTTGTTCCTTCTTCCCCTCACCTAAATATAGCTTTTAGAAAACCTATCTGATGCTTCTGGTACTTTCTACCACCGATTCCTTCCAAATGGGTATTCCTGCTGCTGCAGCACAGGAAAGCCATGCTAGACAACTTTGGCTGAGTCTCTTTTTCTTCTTTGTCCCTGTCATGTTCAGTGAGCAGCCTCAAGAGCACCTTTCTCTTTGAAAGTCTCACTGTCCTTCCTCACAGGTGACTCACGTCTCTCAGTGCCACTGGTCACTGGCTCACCTTTCTGTGCACTTGAAAGCCACTTTTTCAAATCACTAGAACACTTCTGTCTGTGCCCCATGTCCATTATGACGCCTCTCAGGAGAGTGCTAGTCTTCAGTGACTGCATTACTCCCTTCTCCCTCGTGAGTCAAACTATCCATCTGGGTTCCTCTACCGCCGGAGGTGCAAGCCCTCAAGATAGGCCAGCTCACAGCAGTGTGAGACTGGCACAGTATCTGGACAGCTGAAATCTCACTAAGCCAAAAGCAAGTATCAGTTTTTTCATTTTATTTTCTTGAAAAGTTTCTCCTGACTTTGCTTTTAGGATTGGAGTTTCCTTTTTTAAAGAGTCTTGCTTTGTAGCCTACAATGGCACTGAACTTGCCACATAGCCCAGGCTGGCCATGTATTCTTGATTCTCCTGCTTCAGCCTTCGAAGCACTGGGATTACAGGCATGCACATCACACCAGATTGTATTCTTTTGTTTTAAATACAAACATTTTTATGCACAGAAAAAAGGTCTAGGATATATACACATGGCATAGAAACGGCAGAACTAAAACAAGGCAGACATGTGTCATCAGTGAAGATTTTCTTAAAAAACAGCTCAGGAAAAAGAAAATTAGCCCTGATACATGGGAAGCAGCCTGGCCCTGTAAGGGTTGTAAGCTTCACTGTATCAAGCAAGGTAGCCTGCTGTATCTAAGTCCGCCAGAACACTCGCGGTAGAAGTCATCATGTTGAGATGACACCAAAAATAACTGAAAAACAAAGACTCATAACCTCCTAACTCATAACATTCATAACTCTGTCTAAAGTCGATCACTGTGCAAACTAGAAAATCACCCAATTGGTGAAGGAACTACTTCACCAATCACTTTATTCTCCACCTAAAGATGATTTATTAAAATATACAATCATGAATTACTGTAACTGATAGCATTCAGCCAGAGCAAAATGCCTTCCCCCAATATATTATCAAGTCATATTTTATTGTAGACTTGCTATTTAGTATCTAAAATTAGAATTTCATGTAAGATGCATTTTAGAAAGTTACTTAAATCGTCAAGCGTCTTCTAAATCAAAGTTTTAGTTTTTTGTTCTCTCCCCTTTTTACTTTATTGGTGTATTTTAGGTATCATAATAATCACATGATAGAGAATTTGCTCCTCTACATGATATATCTTCCTTTTTTCCATTTCCTTTCCTCCCTTCCCTTATTCACAAAAGGTTTGTCTCCACTTTTTCCTGCTTTTTTTTCTTGTTCCTTCTTTCCTTTTCTGCTCTCCCCTCTCTTGTTCCCCTTCTTATTTGAACATCTGCTCCTCACTTCCCAGTATCTATTACATATTTTGGCCCTTATTTATACCTTTCAGTTTCTCACACCTAAGAAGCTGCAATATTCACACACGTCTGATTTATTTCACTTAACAGTATGGTCCTGGTTCATCCATTTATCCAAGAATGTCTCAAGCTTATCCTTCTTTATGGCAGGGTAGTACTCTATTGTATTAAAAAAAAAAACACCTTTAGCCATTCACCACTTAATGGGCATGTGGGTTGTTAGCAAGATTTAGCTATTACAAACGGTGCCACTGTGAACATAAGTGTATACGTACTGCTGTGGTATGATAAATGCCTCCTTTTTGAAGCTCTGTCTCCCCCTCAATCATGCAACACAGGCCCAGACTTTACCCCCCAGCTCCTAAAAGTGTGGCCCCTTAGACAGACTACTAGAAACCCCATTCAGTTTAACTAAGGTGTGTTAAACTTGTAACCATATAGGACTCACATTTATAACAGCCAACTTTACAAAAGCTGAGGCCTCTGAGAATCAAAACTGCCCAGCTAGTGTGGTTTTTCTTTTTACCTAACACCACAGCAGTGGAGCCCAGCATTTAAAAGTCTTCCTCAAAGAAAAGCATAGAGAAAATGCAAATACCCAGCTGATGCAATAGAGGTCCAGCATCTCAGCAAACAAGCCACATGCCTGGGTCAAAAACAGGCCTGTGACACTGACACAGCCTCTAGTCCCACTCATATCACTTTTTTTTGGTACCAGAAATTGAACTCACAACCTCTGGTTTAGCAGGCAGGCGTTGTGCTGCTGAGGTATATCCCTGGCCCACTCATACCACTATATCCTAGGGCACGCAGGCAAACAGGCCAACTGACACCACATAAAGTGTGGTGATGCTGAGCATGCCAACTGAAGAACTGACAAAACAGGTCAGAGAATATGAAGCTAACGTACTAGAAGCATAGAAAAGCCCCATGGATTACTTAATATGGAAAAATAAAAACAAGGAGGAAATTTCAACTGAAATGATGACTACCTGGGCTCAACATCTTTCAGAGACCAAAGCAGAAACTAGTAGTTTAAGTAGATTTAACTTAGTTACACCAGACTACACAACATAAAAGGATGTCAACATAAAATGACCACAAGAAGCAAGAGTGTTCTCAAGACTCTTTAAGAAGGAAATCTTCCACCTGGCCCTGCAGGAGTGAGTTTGAGGAGCCTTGGCTGAGCCACATGCATAGGACTACAGCTCCAAGAGCCAAAATCAGACACATATCCCACTCAGCACAAAGGTTAGCAGCTTCCCCTTCGTCAACAAGAGATTCCCAGGCCTGGTCCTTCGTCTCAGACAATGTGGTCCAATGAAATAAGCCCTCCTCTACACCAGTATTTGAGCATCTGGGCCCTGCCCATAATTGCCAAAACTGTTTCCTCACCTCTAAGCAGTCCAAGAAGGCAGCGCCTGTGAGCTGGGTGCTCTCTGCTCCTTAAATACCCCACTTTCCACCACCCATGCTGCCAGGCAGTGGATTATATAGTAATTAATTTATTTTTTGAGCTATGTGAGAGCAAGAATTATGTCTTACTTCCTTTTACTGCTCAAGTATTTAATAGGGAAACTGCCACCTCTATTCCAAGATAGGACATAATAAATAATTTAAGTCTCAAACCCTGTAAGGACAAATCTATTTTGATTTTCAGCCTCAGATACTACAGTTTTTATTCACCCTGAGGAGAATCCACATTTCTTATCAGGGCTCCTCAGAACAGAGTGAGACTCTTGCCAAGTCACCTTTGACTGCTTAGGAGTAACTCCCTTGGAAGGAAAGGCCTCACCCTACGGTCGACTGGTACCTCCTGAGTCACAGAGGAGTGGTTCTCATTTCTCAGAAGTGATGCCACACTCTTCCAGATATATCCAGGGGTGGAGACACCTACTCTACCATTTACTGTGGGTTTTTTGAAACAGGGTTTTACTATGTATGTTGTACAGATTGGCCTCGAACCCATAGCGATCCTCCTGCCTTAGCCTCCTGAGTGCTGGGGTTACAGGCACGCGCCACTATGCCCGGCAACTCACAGTGTTTGTAAGTGCACTTAAAAATCTGGACTTATTCAAATTCAAAGCCTACTGGATACAAATTTTTTTTTTTTTTGTACCAGGGATCAAACTTACGACTTTGCGTTTGCAGAGGCAAGCACTTCCCCAGCCCTTGGATATAAAATACTTTCCTAAGATGCTGAAGAATTTGAATCATTTGATGATTATAGGTTGATTTTTAATCCTTAATCATAGGTAAGTTGTTTCATAGATATTTGCAAGAAACTACCGAATTCAAAACTCCTACATTCTATTTTTGGTCTTTATTTAGCACTGTTAACTAAAATACAGGTAAAAGTCAATTAGCAGAAATCTACAGCTCAAATAAGTTTGTATTTGACAATACTGCCAGCAAGTAATAAAATGTACAAGATGCTTGAAGGCAAAAACCTGTATATAAAAGTCTAAAACTGACAGGCCTAGGGGCACATGCCTATAACCCTAACCAGGAAGGTGATGCCAGATAGCAAGTTCAAGCCCGATGAGACCCTGCTCAAAATTTTAAGAACGGTAGATAAAGCACTTGCCTACATAAGCAAAACTCTGGGGTCACATCTTAGTACTACAATCAATCTATCAATTAATCAATCTTTAAAAATTTGGCTGGGGGATATTTATTACTGAGCTAATTTAACTTTACTTGGTATTACTCAATTTATCCAAATCATGGCAATATAAGTAAATATGTACATAGGTGATATGTATTAATTAAACACTGAAGAATTATATACTCTAACAGACACATTAAAAAATCAGTTGTGATTCTTACTGTTTGCGGATAGGAGAGGGGACGTAATCTGTCATAATCTTCTTGTCCAGCTGTATCCCATAAGCCCAGATTCACTGGTTTTCCATCTACCATAACATTGGCAGAATAGTTGTCAAAGCTGCAGGATGGATAAAAACTGTTAGTCACAGACAGGGGACCTCAGAGGTGTGCCAACAAAGCAGGACTTCAGGCTGCCACAAAGAAAATGCCCCTGAAGCATGAGGAAGAGGACCCTCGAGGGCAAGGGGCAGGAAGAAGGTCCTGGGGAAGGAGCCCCACACATACTGAGGAAAAAAAATGCTTGAGAAACAAAGGACAACCTATGAAATTTAAGTGAGAAAACTATCCCAATTAAAAACAAAACACAAAACCCAGGCATAGTAGTACACACTGTAATCCTAGGAACTCAGGTTACTGACACAGCAAAGTTTTAATTTTAAATCAGAGGCCAGTCTGGGCAATTTAGTAAGCCCCTGTCTGAAAAAATAATAAAAACAGGACTGGAGATATGTTCAATCCCTAGCACCTCAAAAAAAAAAAGCCAGGCCAGGGGTTTAGCTCAGCAGCGTTAGTGTGTGCTTGGCAAAAAAACCCAACAACAAAAAAGTCACACAGGCTGGGTATGATGGCACACACCTATAATCCCAGCATTCTGGAGGCTGAGGTAAAAGGATTATAAGTATGAAGGCAGCCTAGGCTACCCAGTGAGTTCAAGAACAGACTGGACTATAAAGCCAGACCCTAGCTCAAAAGAAAAACAAAAATACTGCCTTTTTAATAAAAAGCAAAAATTTTTTCTCCCTAGGGAAAAATAAAGCTCAGAATCAGTCCATCTTTCAAATCTCACCTGCTGAGTTTTTCATGTACATATTTTACTCATTTTCAAGAAGTGTTTCCAGAATGTGTATCTGTGCCTGCAACCAAAGTGCAGTGGTAACACAAAACACACCTAAATTTACAACTCATCCAAAATGTTTTCAAAGTAAAGACCTCAGAACATAAATGTTTGAATTAGCTTCAAGTTGCTACATACGGTTAACTATAGAAAAAGGGTACCCAGAAAAACCTACTATAGGATGCCAAAAGATAATAAGACTGATTTAAATTAGTGCTGCTAATTAATAATAGTTAATTAATAGCTAACAGCTAGTAATTATTATTAATAGCTAATTAATAACAGTTAATTAATAAAAAGGTGAACATTTTAAAAACCAGTATTTTGTTGGGGATATAGCTCAGTGACACATAGCCTGCTTGGCAAGCACAAGATCCTGAGTTCAATTCCTGACACCAAAAAGAAAGAAAGAAAGACAGACAGACAGTTAAAATATAAAAACAGGTATTTCAATGTAAACCAAGGCAATACCATATGTATCAACTTTATAAAAGACAAGGCTTGGGGCTGGGGATTTAGCTCAGCGGCATAAGCGCCTGCCCTGCAAGCAGGCACTCGTGAGTTCAATCCCCGGTACCTATAAAAAAGGAAAAACACAAAAAAAAAAAAAAAAAAAAAGACAAGGCTTTATGTACTCAAAATACTAAAATTATTCTCTATGATGAATGTTACCCTTATGTGTATCTAAAATTTACCAATAACTTTTTTTTGGTACCTGGGATTAAACTCACAATCTTGTGGCTTGCCAGGCAGGCGCCTACACCAAAGCTAAATCCTCGGCTCTTAACATTTTTGAAAAATACCAATAAAATTTTTTTTAACATAATTAATACTAAAATTGTATGGCTCCACTATAATGCAAGAATAAAGGTCTAACAAGATGCCAATGTGATTTACAGAATTTAATTACCCAACTAGCTTTCATAAAAAGGTTTCAGGAATGTGGCAATTCTGCTTCTATGAGAAAGATCATTCAATAAATGGTCCTGTGATATTTTCCCCCAACCAAAAAAAAAAAGAAAGAAAAATTATCAGATGCTTAAACTCAGTGTAGTGGCACACAGCTGTAATCACAGCACTCAGGAGGCTGAGGCAGGAGAATCAGTGTGACTTCAAGGCCAAGCTGAGCTACACAGTAAGTCCAAAGTCAACCTGAACCACACAGAGACTCTATCTCAACAAACCAAAACAGCAACAATGAATTATGAATGAACTAAAGGTAAAAAAAAACCTGAGTCACAAAAATCCTAGAAAGAGTAGCACAGTTTTCTCACATCACAAAAGTAGAAATAGCTTTCACAAGCATGATAGAACACTTTATGAAATGGAAAAGGTGGCATTATTCACATAAAATGTTAAACATTTACATGGCAGAAAACACCATAATGAAGTTCAGAGACAAATGACAGAACTGATATTTTTATTTATAATATGTTCAATCAGTATGAAAAAGTTTCACTAGAAAATAAGCAAAAGATTTTAACAGGCAATTCTTAAACTACATATAGAGTGGAAACATTTACATTTTAACTTCACTAAGGCCCAGATATGCAAATGAAAAATAACTTTCTTTCAACCCTCATTAGTCACATAGTATGTGACCAATAGTATGATAAACTATTTTACAGTCACATCGAGAAAAGTAGGTAACAACTTGAGAAGAGATGCTGAGTATCCCTATCTAAAATGACGGGGACCAGAAACATTTAGAATCTGGGTTTTTAGCCCGGCATAGTGCCACATGCCTGTATTCCTAGTATACAGAAGGCTGAGGCAGAAGGATGACTGAGAGTTTGAGGCCAGCCTAGGCTACAATAGGGAGTTTAAAGTCAGCTTGAACTACGTGGTAAGACCCTGTCTCAATAAATAAGTAATAAAATTTTGGGGTTTTTAGATTTTGAAGTATCTATCTATATTTGGGGATGGGATCCAAGTCTAAATACAGAATTCATTTGTTTCATGTACACCTGAGACGTACAATCTGGAAAGTAGTTTCACATAGGATTTTTAATAATTTTGTACCTGAAGCAAAGTTTATTTCCCCTGTGGCATCACGTCAGTATTCAGTAAATTTTGGATTTGGGGGCATTTTAGATTTCAAATGTTCCCATTAAGGATGCTTAATCTTCAACATTTAAAGTCCTATTTTCCTTTGAAGTGGCACAATTCCACTTCTAATAACTTGACAGACGTCTACAGAGACATATGAAATGAGACTAAACACAGTACTGTCTATAATGCTAAAAGAAGGGGGGAAGGACCCATGGACTGGTATAATCAATCACTGCACTTTAAAATTAATAATTGTTAAGGAGCTCTACCTACACAACTAGACAAGGAAAATGCCCCCCACAAATTCAGAATAACCATGACACAAAGTTTCTAGTTGCATTTTTAAAATGTGCACAACATAACACAGAGCACCCAAGTGGTGTGTTGTTCTTGGGAAGGGGAGGGATTGAAATAGGACTACTCTCCCACTATCCCCACTTAACAGGAGCCTAAGGACATAAACATGAGTGTGCTTACTGCGGGAGAGGGCGTTGCACTATGAAGCTTGTCTATTTGGGGTCCCTCGTAACCTATCATCAGAAAAGCACTTTTCCTTCCTCATCCATTCTGCATCCCATGGAGAATAAGCAGCCTTATGTCCAACTCCATCCTCTCCCATCCCCACCCTCGATTCAGTTCTAAAGCTCTGTAACTTGATGACATGAAATCAATGGCTGACTTGCCAGAAAAGCCTAATTAAAACCATAATGGAATACTTTGTATTCCAGTTCCAAAGCCAAATTTATTTGAAATTTGTATACCTGGTCTTACATTGTACATTTTTTTTTTTTTTTTTAATACCTCTGTACCAAACTCACCACCTCATGCTTGTGAGGCAGGTGCTTAGGTCACTGAGCTAAATCCCCAGCCATGAAATTCTTCCAGTGACAAGAACTATCTGTGATCAAACTTGGTCAGGCTCCTTTTATCCAGCACTGTTTTGTCTGTGTGTGTGTGTGTGTGTGTGTGTGTGTGTGTGTGTGTGTGTTTAATTTACAGTCTTGCTCTTTAATTCAGGCTGGCCTTTGGTCACTATGCAGTCCAGGCTGGCCTGGAACTCACAGTGATCCTCCTGCCTCAGCCTCCCAAGTGCTAGGACTATAGCCACCATGCACAGCATGATTCTTCTTTTTTTAACCAATGTAATCTAGCCCCCATAACTTCATTCAGCTTAACTTTGTTTCCAAATGTCTAAAAATCAATTAGGAAAGCTGTGTTTGTCTTGAGAAAACTGTAAATTGAGTAAGTTTTTTTAAAGTCCAAAATGTCTTACAGTCAGATTCTAATCAGTGTATGAGAAGAAAATAAGTATCAGATCACTGAAAGATTAAAAGTCTTTATAGTAAAATAAATGGCCAAAGGAACTAGAAAAACATTACAGACAAAATTCCCAATTTAATAGAACATACTTACACAGTAGGGATATATTCTCCGGGAAATGCATTGGTTGTGTAACTGATCAGTAGGCAAGTTTTACCTACAGCTCTAAAGGAAAAAGAAAAAAAAAAGAGCTGCTTAGTCAACATTAGTGTGATCCCAGCTTTTATTATTATTCTATTAAAATAATTTCTAGAAAAATCAAGAGTTTACACACCACATTCTTAGCATTAAATGATCCATTTTTTAAACCTTTAACACTACACAGATATTTTTATCCCAAACCCAAAGAAAACAACCTAGAATTTTTCAGAAAGGTAGGTTTGGGGCCGGGGATATAGCTCAGTGGCATAGCACCTGCCTGGCAAGTACAAGGTCTTGAATTTGACTCCTGATACAAAAAACAAAGGTAGGTTTGGAAGCCGTCTGATTCTATTAAGATATGTGTCATTAACACCAGTAGTCAACAGTTATTAAATAAACACAAGATTCAAAAGATTAAAATCTAAAATATCTCTTCTGTGAACATCTGTAGAAGGCCAAGAATTTTAAGTGCTGTCCTCAGTATTCTGAGTAACACTAATATGTGAACACAGCTTGCTTCTGCAATACATATACATTCTGTTACTTCTATAAATAATACTAACTTATTTTGCTGCTTCTAAGTGGCATAGCTTAAACTCTTTCACCTTCTTAAAGCCTTATCTTTGACAATCAAGTTATAACTGTTTTCTTAATACTGTGCTTAGTTAATAAAGTACCACACATACCTGGCCTTGTATTAATTAATCTATGCATTTGCCGTGTTTCCCCACAAAAGCTTTTAAAGCAGGAGCTAAAACAACATGCCCCAGTCACATTACCTAATGGCTCACTTACCAAACAGTTGCAAAGAGAAACTTAAAAAGGATGTAGAAGTAAATACACAAGTCAGGAGCCACGCCTGCACAATTGCAAAGGAGTAGACTATTCAATATTACCAGTGTGCCACCAAGGCACAAGTCATGATGGTGGATGAAAGTTCCCCAAACCAATACACACTTCTCAGATGAAGAAATACAAACAGCAAATAAATATGTGAAAAAAATTTTCAACATCGCTGGTCACCTGAGAGATGCAAATTAAAATACTGAGATTCCGCCTTGCCCCGGAAAGAATGCTATTATTAAGAAATCAAGCAATAATGAATGCTGGAGGGGTTGTGAGGAAAAAAGAACCCTTCTCCACTGTTGGTGAGAACGCACACTGGTACAACCACCATGGAAATCAGTGTGGAGATTCCTCAAAAAACTGGGACTAGATGTCCCATTCAACCCAGTTATTCCCCTTCTGGATATCTTCCCAAAAGAATTAAAAACATCATACCACAGTAATATAGTACACTATGTTTATAGCAGACTAATTAGTAATAGCTAGATCTTGGAAACAACCTAAATGCCCATTGACAGTAATAGATAAAAAGATGTGGGTTTTTTTTAATGCAATGGAGTACTACTCAGCCACAAAGAAGGATAAACTGGACTTTTACAGATAAATTGATGCAACTTAATACCATACTCATAAGTGAAATAAATTAGGATCACTGGGCAACCCCCCACCAATTAAACTGAAAAAAAATGTTTTTAGCCAGGCCTGATGGCACACACCTGTGATCCTAGTATTCAGGAGGCTGACCAAAAAAATTTTTTTTGTTTTTATAGGTCAACATTCACAGGTAGACCAGAGGGGCTTCTAAGTCCCTGGCATTCCAAAGACTCATTTCACTAAATGCTGTCCAAAATGAGTCCAGTTCCCTGCTATTTAACTGTTGGCTTGCCAAGGTCAAGAAAATACAATGGGGGGCTGGAGATTTAGCTCAGCGGCATAAGCACCTGCCTTGCAAGCAGGCAGTCGTGAGTTTGATCCCTGGTACTGATAAAAACGAAAAAAAGACAAAAAAAAAAAAAAAAAAAAAGAAAGAAAATACAATGGTATTAAGGTTTTTTGAGACAAAGTATTACTATGTAGTTCAGGCTGTCCCTGAACTCACTGCATAGCCCAGGCTGGCCTCAAACTCATAGTGATCCTCCTGCCTCAGCCTCCTGAGTACTAGGATCGTAGGTGTGCCAGCACACTCAAAAGTATTAAAATTTTGTTGGATCTCAATTACTATAAATCAAGTTTTCACCATAAAAAAGGTAAATACTTTTCTATTTTCCCTCATATTACAGCTTAAAAAGAAAATGCTCCAACAAAGGCAGATTACAGGCCCATTCAGTCTTGCTAATACTTGTTTTACTCTCAACATTACTGAGTGTTTAATAAACTTGGAACTCCCCACCCCAGACCTCACAGTGAAGCATTACATCATCAGGAGGTAAGCTCTAACTCTTAAGTCGTTCTAAAAAGAAATGACTCATCAGATATACACATTCAGTAAAAGGATTAGAATGTCAAAATGAGCCTGTAAGAGAAAGGGCCTAAAATGTGGAGTCAGAAGCTGGGATCTGACATAGAGGCGACTCTACCACTTATTAGCTGGCATTTTTAAATGAGGTCTCACTTCTTCAAGTGCCTCAGGTTCCTTGTGCACAAAACAGATGCAAAACTACCAATACTTCATCAAACTATTGTGAGCTTTAATTCAATTTCAATTTAGATTAAGTATGTGTTTTGCCAGGAAGTGTATTAAATGTTAACATAATCCAAGACTTCCTGCAGTGTATGCTGTTATTAAATAAAAATGAATGCAATCATTACACAAAAGTACAGGTATGAGTGTGTTATAAAAAGATGCTCTGGGAATATATAGCCAAAGAGCTAACCTAGTTCTGGGGGTGGTTAGAGGAGGCTGTAATGTACATTAAGACTATGAGGAACAAGATGGCAGGAAAAAAAAAAGCAACAGCATAAAAAGATGCCCAAAGCTGAAAGAAGCCCCATATAATGGCAGAACAAAGATGGGGAAGTGCCAGAGGAAAATTCAAAGAGGCTGTCATTTCTTGCGGAAACAGAAGGCACAGGTGGTTTCAGGTTACCAAGAAAGCATTAGATTTTAGAAGCCTCTCAGTGCACTATGGAAAAGGACTGAGGAAGTTGGGACTGGAGGTGAGGGGAATAAGGAAGCGGCTGCTGTGTTCCACAACCCATCCTACTCCACCCCTGGGTAGTAGCTGGGTGCAGCAGACGGGCTAGAAAGTGAAGATAAGTGGACAGTTCCATGAGGTCCTCTGACATGAGGCAGCACAATCACGCTGAGTTGGACATGGTAGCTGAGGAAGTGAGTGGGGTCTAATACCATGACAAGTGAATCCTTTGTCAAAATGAGAGGTGGGCCAGTTGTTGTGGCACACACCTGTAATCCCAGCACTCAGAAGGCTGAGGCAGGAAGATTGCTGCAAGTTCGAGACCAGCCTGCGTTACAAAGTGAGTTCAAGGCCAGCCTGATCTACATAGTGAAACCTGTCTCAAAAAGACAAACACAAAACAAAACAAAATAAATGTTGTATAGAAAATATTAACAATTCTTGCTACTTTTATTTTTTTTTGGTACTGGGGATCAAACTCAGAACCTTGCACTTGTCAGGTAGGCACCTGTGTGGCTGAGCTAAATCCCTAGCCCCATCCTTGACACTTTTAATAAAATAGATAAGCCACTAAAAATGTTTTGGTTAAGATAAAACACTTTCAGCACTTCTTTTAAGATTCAATCCTATGTGAGAAAGTCACTACTATAGATTAGATCAACTGTCATTTTAGAATGCTTTAAAATTTCCTTTCTTGAAATTTACCTTCAATAAGGCATCATCTTCTCTAAGGTTTAACTGTGGAGAAATTCAAGGTACTGACATAGTAAGATAATGGCTGAGAAATCATCAGTCATTATTTGGTACAGTTCTATGTTCTAAGAACATGACTAAATTATAGAATTCTGACTGTGAAAAATCAGCACATGGTAGGGGGGGTGTTAGCTCAGCAGCATAAGTGCCTGCTTGGCAAACGTGCAGTCATGAGTTTGATCCCTAATACCAAAAAAATAAAAAATAGAAAATAAAAATCAGCATATGCTTTGCCTTTACTTGATTTTTAAAAATCAACCACAAAAATAGATGGTTATTTCCTGTTACTTCATTTATTCATCTTTTATTAAACACACAGCATGAATCAATTCTAGAGGCCAAAGTCAACATTTATACTGGGCAAAGTAACATGAAGAGTAAAAGCTGTATTTGATCACAATCCTGACTGATGCTGCTACAGAACTTCTAGAAGTTACTATGGGGGGAGGTTCAGGTATTTAAGAACCTAGGAAGGCCCTGAGTTCAATCCTTGGTACAGGAAAGGAGGGGACTGAAGCGTTGGGGTTAGGTCAATCTCTTTTTAATCTTTGAAAGATGTTATTAACATTAGAAAATGAAATGATCTACTGGAAGAATGCTCACTTCAGTTCTGGACTTTTCCCTATGTATGACATTATAGTTTGTTTTTTCACTGTTTCCCTTGCTCTATCTATAACCAAGATGAAAGTCAGTAACTTATGCCTACTATGTTTTTCATTTGGCCATTGAGAAGTTTTTCCTTACTTTTAGATTGCTTTTAGGACAGAAAAACCAGACTGTCCCAATAATAACTGTAAGTTTCAAAGTACACAGATTTAAGCACAAGTTAAACAAATGTACTAGAAATATGAATTATAAACTACCAAATATATACTCATTGAATAAATGAAAGACTTTAAATGGGTAATGCATAATAGTAGCATTTCCACAAGTACATGCCTAGGATTTTGAAAATACTATGTTAAGAATAATTCAATACCACACACAAAAAAAATCAAATTCTGAGGTTCTACAACCAACGTACAGAAAGCTAGCCATTATCACTGCAGGCTTCAAAACTTTAAAAGTTCTAGAACACTTAAGGATGAAGATCCTACATGTAACAGCTGAAGTCTGAAGCAGGCCTTATTCTAGACCACCCTTCTATAATCATTAAGTCCAACTCTGGTGGAGTGGGTATGACTCAGCTGAAGTTAGTTGAAAAATAATTTAGCCAGATGTGGTAGCTCACACCTGTGATCCCAGCACTCTTGAGTAGCTGAGGAAAGAGAATCACAAGTTCAAACTGCCCTGTGAAGGCAGTTTAAGAGACTTAAGACACAAGGTCTCATAACAAGGAGAGGGGGGAAAAAAGGCTGGGAGGATAGCGCGATACAAAGGTCTTGTGTCTAATCCTTAACACAGGAAAATACTGTCTAACTGCAGGGTGGTCCCTGTTCTCTTTCAACATCAACTCCTCTATTAAGGTCTTTGATAATGGAAGTCATGGGATAAACCACACAGAACTGAATGTTGATTATGGAGTTTAGGTGGTGGATCCACAGGAACTAACACGATTCTTTCAACTTCTCCATATTTGAAATGTTGCATGAGAAGATGTTGGTGGAGCCAGTCACAGTGGTGCACATGTCATCCCAGTACTCTAAGAGGCCAAGACAAGAGGATTACAAGTTTAAGCACAGCCTGGGCAACTGAGAAAGACCCTGGCTCAAAATAAAAAATGTAACAAGGGTTGCGGAAATAGCTCAGTGTGAAGTCCCTGGGTCCTATCCCCAGTACTACCAAAAAAAAAAAAAAAAGTTGGTAGAAAATAACTCCTTTTGATGGCAGGCAGTAACTGAGCTAGCAGCAAAATTTCTGATAAAACATTTTCTTCCTAGGAAAATTACAATTAGAAGACAGAGCTCTCCGGCAATGCACAGGGGAAAAAGTAGGAAGTACTAAGACATATGACTACAAGATGTAAAATAACTTTGTAAAGGGTGGACTAACAGTTTCTAAAACTGGCATCCTAATGTCCTAATACTTCTCCATATAACTCAATCTCAAACTTTTACTGCTATTATCACTTAAATTTTACTTCTTTATGGTTGGTGCTAGAGATCCAAAGAAGGACTTTGTACACGTTAAGCAAGTACGAAGTTCTACCTACTTCAGTTTAAAAGAACAGTGTATAATTTCACCAACAAAGATCAGTTATACATGAAATTTGGAAGCCAGCTCAGAATTCAAATGCTCTATAACGTGCCAGAAATAAACACAAGTAGGCATGGTGGCACACACCTATAACCCCTGCACACTGGAGACTGAGGAAAGAAGAGCAAAACGTTCAAATCCTTTAGCTTAGCAGTGTGAGTGCCTGCGTGGCAAGTGCGAGGTGCTGACTTTGATCTCCATTACCAAAAAAAAAAAAGAAAAGGTTCAAATCCAGCCTGGACAACTAATTGACTTAGTACAATCCTGTCTCAAAAGAGGGTATGAGGTGGGGCTGGGGGATATAGCTCATATAGAAATCTAAGTCAGAAATTGTAGTGGTCAGTGGTCACTGTCCCAACGTGGACATCAGGAAATACAGGGAGGACTTCAGATTGTTTGTTCTCAGCTTTCTGGTCAATAAAAGCTAAAACACCACTATTAAAAAGCATTGTTGGCAGCCTTCTCAGGGAAGCTTAGGCAAGAAGATTGAAAATTTGAGCCCAAATTGGACAACTCAGTGAATCAGCAAGACCCTGGCTCAAAATATTTTTTTTAAAGGCCTGGGAATATAGCTCAGTGTTGAAGGCCCTGGTTTCAGTCTCCAGATCCAAGAAAAAGGGGGGGGGGGATCTGTTTTCTAGGGTGGTGTAACACAATACACCATTCTCAGAACCAATATTAAAAAAAAAATTTATAAATATTTGAATGCAAGATGCTGTGCTACTTAAGTAAAGCAACTATCTTTAAGAAGAGCTCTCCTGAAAAGTTATAGGTTCTCTGTTCAGGAAAGACTATCAATGTTTAACCCCATAAAATTTCGGCCCATATTTAAGTTTTATAACAATTTCTGAATAAAAAATCTTCCAACTACAGCTTCGGGAATACAGCTTACTGGACAAAAGCAATAAAATATTTTTGGTATAAAAATTATGGACATAGACTTTCCAGTACAATGTTTGCTACGTATCATCCATTTAAGTAATATAGTATAAATTCTTTGTATAGGTGTATTTCACTTAACACTTAGTCCAAATCAACATCAATGTTAAATACAGTACTAAAGCCAGACTAAAAACTCAAGGCCAACACTGTGTTTCTTATGTCTAGTACTCCCTCACTGAGCCTCACAGTAGTTAGAAATGGTGACAGTGAACCTGCCTAAAATGAGTGAGACTGGGTTTGATCCCAGCAATGCAAAAAATAAAAATAATAAGAAAGCAAAGGCACTTCCTAAGCATTCAGCAAGGGGCCAGCCACTTGTGAGGCTCTTAACAGCCAGCATCTTGTTTAATCTTGATTAACTTCCCCTGTGGCACTTCTCTTGGGGAATGAGCTAGATGGCCAGGGTTACCCCTTAAGTAAGTGCTGCAGAGGGAATGTGAAAGGACTCAGGAGCCGTACAGGTATTCAAGTGTTTGACTAGATGAAAAAGTCAATACAAAAAAGAAGTCAATAAAAGACCAATGCCGACTTCAGCGGTAAAGCACTTGTCTAGCCTGTGTGAGGCTCTGGAATTCATCCTCAGCCCTGCAAAGAAATGGTGGGGGCCTAACTCAAACAATTGAGAACCATGACCTGTTAGTTTTAAAAAAACTAAACGTATCTGCTGTGCTTGTGCATGGTAGTCTTAGAAATTTTCAAGTAACATACTGTGGTTGGATAGTGAATTACCAATTTAACTTATAAAAATGAGAGTACAGGAGCTGGGGATTTAGCTCAGCGGCATAAGCGCCTGCCTTGCAAGCAGGCAGTCGTGAGTTCGATCCCTGGTACCGATAAAAACGAAAAAAGACCAAAAAAAAAAAAAAAAAAAAAAAATGAGAGTACATAATATTTCCCATTCCAAGTATTACTGATTCTGCAAACTTTTAGTTGAGATTCAGGTAACTAAATTTAAATGTTTTTAAATTAGTGTTTAGCTAATTTATTACACAAAAAGATCAAAACTTTATTTTATTTAAACCAAATTACTACCAAATCAAATAATTCACTATCAAATCAAATAATGATTTACTGAGTGACAAATTCTGCTTTTAAAAGGTTAAAGTAGTAACATATATTTAGTTTTTAGTTACACAGAATCACAAACATTAATATTTCACATGAGACAAATCCCACAGATGAGCCTTTTACAAAAATCAGTAGTCTGTTCATATCTTGTATTTAAATTTGTTACAGAAACTTTTTTCACCCTTTTTATTCTTTTTGTGGTAATAGAAATAGAAACCAGGGCATTTTAATTTTTTTGTTTGTTTTTGAGACAGGGTCTCTATGCAGTTCAGGCAGGCCTTGAGCTCACTTTGTAGCCTAGGCTGGTCTTGAGCTAGCAACGAATCCTCCTGCCTCAGCCTCCAATGTGCTGGGATTACCGGCCGCCACCACGCCCGGACCAGGACGTTGTAATTTTGACTGTATTCAAAAGTGTAATCCTCCCGCTTCAGCCTCCCAGAGTAATGTGTGATTACAAGTAGGCATCACCCCACCTGACTATACAAAATTGCAAATGTTTCACTTACAATTATCTAAATATATCTTATCTATTTGCAGTTGGCAACACAAAACCAGAATCAGTACAAAGTTTGAAGATTAACCAAAAATTAATAAGGATGCCAGAACTCTTCGACTCTACTCAAAAATGTACCAGTTGCACTGAGTTTGCTGAAACTGGCAGTACATCTACCAGCTTCCCTATTAACACTAATTTACACAAGCAATGCTGAGACGATTAATTTTGCTCAGATTACACTGAGATTCTTGTTTCTATGGGAGAAAAAAAAAAACGGAATAAAACGAGTCTTGTCTTCCTCAAGGGCCTGTAACCACCACGGACAGGACAGAAAGAAAAGCATTGAGTCACAAGAAACCAGGTCTACATCCATACCTAACACGTTAAGCGAACGCCACTTTTAGTTTTGTTTTTTGTTTTTAAATAATCACACCACGTTTACATCACACTGGGATCCTCGCAGCATCTCAAAAAGCTTCTCCATGCATACAGAATAATTTGCAGATCCCCTCAAACTTGCCGGTTTGATGGCGAAAATCTGAAATCCCAGTACCCTAACAGGCTGAGGAAGGAGGATCATAAATTCAACCCTAAACTGTACAACTTAGTAACTCAGCGAAATTGTCTCGTTAAAAAAAAAAAAAAAAAACAACTAGGGATATGCTTCAGTGCGAAGGTTCTGGGTTCAATTTCTGTAATACGGAAGGGGTGAGGTGACGCTAGAGCAACGAAGTACAAATCGAACTAGCCTGACCATCAAATTTAAGTTTCGGGTCACCGAAGTGTCTCGCTCCAAACATGCATCTAATAGGATCGACTGGTTGCCCCGACCCGCTACCGCTCTTAGCGTGGGGTACCCGAGAGGTTTAATGCAGAAATCAAGAAGGGCCCCTTTATCAAAAGGCGAAAATCCCCGAAATCTGCTTCCAGGACGTGCCAGCCAGCGCAGGGCGGCGGGTGGCGTCCGGCCCAGGAAGAAAGCGGAGGGTGGAGTTCACTTTTCCCTCCGGCCGCGAACGCCGAGCCGATCCCTCCCCCATCGGAGGGCCGGAACCAGCCCGTGTCGGCCCCAGAGGGTGGGAGCCTGCGCCCCCGAAGAGGCCGGGCTCCGGGCCTACGCGAGCCCGAGGCTGCACTCGCCCGCCGGGCCCACCCGAGTCCCACCCGCCCGCGCGCCTCCCGGGCCCCGTACTCACCCGTCTCCCACCACCACACACTTAATGGCCTGCATCTCGGCCGCTCGCTACACCGCGGCGGCCGGGCGCTGAGGCGGGAAGCGACGGGCTCGGGAAGCGGCAGCCGGGCGGGACGCGGGTTGCTGGGACTGCTGTCCGCGCCGCCTCGCCCTCCGCGGACTAGAAACCGAAGCCGGGTAGCGGCCACCACCCAAAGCTGGGGAAAACTGCAGAGAAACAGGAAATGGCCGCTCCACTCACATCCGGCCTCCCTTCCCCCCCTTTACCCCCCCGCGCCGGCGCTGCAGCTCCCAAACTCCGGGCGGGGCAGCTCCCGCCCTCTAGGCTTCCCGAGGTTCCTCAGGGTTTCGGGAGTGCTCGGGCACTTTCGGGAGCGCTCGGCTCGAGCCGCGGGGCGGGGAAGCCGCCATCTTGGCGTGTTAACGCGACCTGGGCGTGGTCGAGTTTGAGGATACCCTGAGCTTCGGGTCGAAATTTGAACCCTGGGCCTTCACGCTGCCAGACATCACTAACCCTTGGCCAGGCTTGACTGGCATTAAAGATCCTCCTACCTCAACCATCCAGCGTACTGGGATTATGCCCCGCTACACTTAAAAAAACGCACTTTTATGTAATAACGATAGGTGATGCTATAACATAAGGTCATCTTAGAAAACTCAAATCTAAAACTAAGGGAAAAAAATGACCGCACAACATAAATAAATAAATAAACCGGCCGTGGTGCCTGTAATCACGCTCTCTGGTAAGATAAAAAAATCATAAATTCTAGCCCAGGCTAGACAACGGCGATTTGGCAAATCTTACCCCAAATTATAAGAGATGGGACCTAGCTCAGTTCTAAGGCCCTGGTTCAGTTCCCAGTACTAAAAAAAAAAAGGAAAAAGGAAACTAAATTTGGGGGGAAATCAAAGGACGAAAAAGGAAAAAGATTTTTCGAAGGCCGTCGATATTTTCAGACAATATAAATGAAAGGGGAGTTGTATTAGAACACAGGAGCTTTCGAAAGATTTGTTGTGTGGTTTTGTTTGGCAGTTTGGGGTAATTCTTATGTTTTTAATGGCGCTAGGGATACAACCCAGCACGCTGCCACGAGCAACTTAACCTGTCCAAAAGATTTTTTCCGCGATTTTTTCAACTCTTGGAAATTAAAAGAATAAAAAGGAATTAAAAGGACCCCTAGTAGAAATTAAAAACTCACTAGAAAAGTTAAAACAGCAGGTGTGGTGGCCCAGATCTGTACTCCCAGCACCTGGGAAGCACAGGCAGGAGGAAAGAAAATTCAACGCAGCCTGGACAATTTAGCAATTTAGAGAGACCCTGTCTCAAAATTTAAAAATATTTTAAATGGACTGGGGATGTGAAGGCCTTGGATTCAACCCCCCAGTGCCAAAAGGAAAAAAAAGAAAACAGGTTTAACCATCCTAATAATAGACATATAATATCAAAGAAAGAAGAAAAGGGAAACATCCATAAAAATGTGCAAAGAAAATTTCCCAAACCTGAAAGTTCACAGACGAAAAATGCCAGCCAAGGGAACGGAAATGGAACCCAGGACAATGCAAACAGGTAAGATCCTACCAGAGAAAACGCAAGTCTCAAGGAAACAAGAAGTAGAAATAGCCCGGCTCTGAGCTCTGCTCACGGTGGTGGGCCCAGCCTTTAACGTTCTGAGGAAAAGGAAATTCAAGCTAGAATGCTACTCATAGCCAAACAATTGATCAAGTAGGCGGGTAAAATAAGAACATTTTCAGACAAACAAGTTGTCAAAAGTTGTACCTCCCACATACCATATCTCAGAAAGCTTTTGGAACATATGTTCCTCCCAAAGGAGGAAATAAACCCAAAAAACCTATGAGGCAAAAACTGGAGATCCCCATAGGAGACCCCATAGAAGTCACGGTGACTGCTGGGTGGGACCACACTGCAACAGGGAAACTTACAGCCTAGCCACACCTGCCACTTCCTTCAAGGTGGACAGCTGGGAATAAGGAACCACATACCAGCACTTTGACCAGTTCTGCTCAGGTGGCCAGATATGAGAGAAGATAAGACACTGTAAAAGCTTGTGTTCTTGAGGTGAATGCTGATAGCGGTGTCTACACCATCCTTTTGTCTCCTGCACCCCAGCATTTTTTTTATAAAACTCTTTGAAGCCTGGATGTAGTGGTGTACACCTGTCATCCCGGCTATCAGGAGGATGGCAAATTCCAGGCTAGCCTGGGCAATTTAGGAGATGCTGTCGCAAAATAAAAAAACAGTTTTTTAAAATATTTAAAAACAGGCTAGGGATGTAGATCAGTGCAAACAAAGGCCAGGGGTTAATTTTCAGTACCAAAAAAGGTTCAGGCAGGGCTGGGGAATGTACCTTAGGGCAAGGTCCTGAATTCCATCTCTAATATCAAATAAAGAAACTCTTTTTGTTGTTTTTTGTTTGTTTGTTTTTTTGTATCCAGAATCAAACTCAGGACCTTGCACTTGCCAAGAGGGCTCTGTGCTGCTAAACTATATCTCCAGCCCCAACTAAACGTTTGAATACCCAGAAAAGTTGAAAGAAATAGGCAACAAACACCCACAAAGCCACCTGAATTCTGAGTGAACATTTTACTAGTCTTGTTTTAGCACAACTGTCCATGTATTCATTCAACAGTTGATCTCATTTTTTGATGCTTTTCCAAAATTTAGGGAAATTATACATCTCACACTTAAATCACCAAGTGTATCATTAATTGTACTTCAGTTTTTACAGATTTCTGTACCGTTTTAAGATAAAAAGACAGGGCCTGGGGATTTAGCTCAGCAGCATAAGCGCCTGCCTTGCAAGCAGGCAGTTGTGAGTTTGATCCCTAGTACCGATAAAAAGGAAAAAAACAAACAAAAAAAGATAAAAAGACAGACTATGAAATGAACATATCTGAAGTTTACCATTCATTGTGTTTTGGCAAATTCGTGCAATGTAAAACCCATCAAGATGTAAAACCTGACTTTCCCCTGGCTTGTTGCTTCCCAATCTCTGACCCATTTTTGGAGGCAACTACTATTGTGATCTTTCTCAGAAGTTAGTTTAGCCTGTTCTAGAACTAAATATAAAAGAGATCATATGAGGAGCTGGGGATTTAGCTCAGCAGCATAAGCACCTGCATTGAAAGCAGTTCAATCCCTGGTACCGATAAAAATGAAAAAGACCAAAAAAAAATTAAAAAAAAAAAAAAGAGATCGTATGGACTTTATTGTCTTTTCCTCTTGGCATAAGGCTTTTGGACTATTATTTATTGGTTTGGCTTGGTTTGGTTTGGTTTGGTTTTGAAGCAAGGTCTCGCTATGTAGCCCAGGCTGGCCTCAAGCTCACAGCAATCCTGCTCCTTCAGCCTCCCAAGTGCTGGGATTACAGGCCTGCATTACCATGCCCAACCTTGTTTGTCATTATTGTTTTGAGACAGGGTCCTGCTAAATTGCTCAGTCTGGCCTCTAATTCATGATCTTTCTGCCTCAACCTCCAGAGTAGCTGAGATACAGATATGTGTCACCATGCCTAGCACTTAAGGCTTTTCAAATTCATCCATGTTGGGTATATTCCTTTTTTTTTAATCAACGAGAAATAATCCATTGTAATGAGGAGATCATGGTTTATTGATCTATAGTTGGTTACACCTTTAGAGTGTTTCAAACTTTGGCTATGATAAAAGTAAAACTTCTAAGAACAAATCTTGCTGGGGATATAGCTCAGTGGCACACCATCCATTTAGCAAGCACAAGATTGTGAGTTCAGTCCCCACTACCAAAAAAAAAAAAAAAAAAAAAACTCTCCAACCAAATTTTGTACAAATCTTTTAGACAAATGAGTTCATGCACATATTGGGTAGGTACCTAGGAATGGAATGTTAGGTCATATAGTAGGTATGTAAAACTTTTTTCTGAAGAGTCTGTCTAAATTGAATGCAGATGTGTTGTGCTCTGGGTGAATGATTTGGGGATGTCAATGTGCAATGTATGTACATTGTTGCTCCATGATTGATGTGTTTTGAAATTGTGTTTCAGTTTTTTTCTTCTTTCTTTTTCTTTTTATTCTTGAAATAAAATGGATTTGAAAAAAATAGTCTGTCTAGCTAGGTGTGGCTCACACCTGTCATCCTAACATTCTGGGAGGCTGAGGCAGGAGGATCTCAAACTCAACCCAGTTTGAGCAATGTAGCAAGATTGTTTTAAAATTAAAAAAAAAAAGGCAGGGAGGACTCAGGTTGTAGCTTAATTGCAAGATCCTAGTATCACCGAAAAAAGCAGGAGAAGATGGGTTTTGCATTGCACAAATTTGTCAAAACACAGTGAATGGTAAACTTAAGACTTGTCCATTTATAGTCTGTATTTTTACCTTCAGCCACTATCCCCTGAGTGAGAGGAAGAGGAAGAAGAAGAAAAAGGAAAAGGGAAGAAAAGAAAGAAGAAGGGAAAGAAGAAGAAGAAGAAGAAGAAGAAGAAGAAGAAGAAGAAGAAGAAGAAGAAGAAGAAGAAGGAGGAGGAGGAGGAGGAAGAGGAGGAGGAGGAGGAGGAGGGGGAGGGGAGAAGAAGAAGAAGAAGAAGAAGAAGAAGAAGAAGAAGAAGAAGAAGAAGAAGAAGAAGAAGAAGAAGAAGAAGAAGAAGAAAACTCCTGCTGGCCCAAAGGAAATGACTTTCTTCTCTTAATCCCATGGGCCTTGTTGATTTGATACTGGAGACTGCACAGTGGGTGGGAAACTAGAAAGGACCCCCTGCTGCTTCCAGCTGACCCCAGCTCACCACCATTGCTAAGCCACTAAGTCTTTTTGCTATGTGTGCAACAAAGAGAATGTACTTTGTGCTCTCAACTCCATGGATTCAGAAGTCCAGCAAGGGTTATGCAGATGGTGAGGAAACCAGATCTGATGCTTCATGCCTGTAATCCCAGCACTCTGGGAAGCAGAGGCAGATTGCAAATTTGAGCCCAGCCTGGGCATCTTAGTGACTTAATGAGATTCTATCTCAAAATTTTAAAAAAGGGCTATGGATGTAGCTCAGTGTAAAGGCCTTGGATTCAATTCTCACTACCAAAAAAAAAAAAAAAAAAAAAAAGGATGAATAAGCCAGTCTCAATGATTTATGACACTGTTATTTGATTTTCAAATTGAAGTCATAAGTTCAGAGTGTTAAAACTTTACCCAATAGAAGAGAGCTTATATGAGAGACTTCAGTCCTCTGCTCAGCCTCTTAATGAGTCTTTCTACCTCTAGGTCCTCCCTCAAGGGG